TTTACAAGTCAGTCCAAGATGTCCAAAATGACCGGCCTTTGATTTTGTAGCATCATTTCTTTAGGCAGATTCATACGTGCTACAAAATCAAGAACCTCACATTTGAAGGCATCAAAAATCATCACTTTTTGAGATCAAACGTCCACGTTGATTCTATAGAGATTTTGTTTGGAGTCGATTCTGTAGAGATTTTTTGTTGGTCTTTGATTTTGAAGCATGAATGTTTACAAGTTTTACAAGCCCCATCCAAAGTCCCAAGTACCTGCCTTTCATTTTGTAGCTACAAGCCCCTCCAAAGTCCCAAGGCCAAGTGTCTGCTTTTTGATTTTGCCGCCTTTTTCTCATATGTTCTCTACAAAATCAAAATTTCTAGGTTTTCTTCAGATAGGTCGCTCTACAAAATCAAAGTCTCACCTTTTCACAAGTGGGCCCCCTACATCTGCTCTACAAAATCAGGCTCTAAAATCTCAAGCAAAAATCCTTATTCTGAAATCCTACCAGTATATATATATATATAAACTTTTGAGGGGTTCTCACGAAAAGTAGGCCCTTAAAGATTCTTAGGGCAAAAATCTCAGGAATGCCGGGGGCATCTTCAAAATTCCAAAAACCCAGGGCCCTGGAGCTCATAAAATAGAACCTTGATTTTGTAGAGGCCAATCTGTGGTTCCCCCTTGGAGATTGATTTTGTAGAGGGTGACACCTTGGCGTATGATTTTGTAAAGGCCACGACTGGCTGCCACGTAAACCTTTCCTACTGCAAAGGCTACCCCTGGTATTGAAGACTAACCAGCATTTTTCACATCTAACCTCCCTCTACAAAATCAAAAACCCATACATGTTGGGCAACAGGGGTTTCCAGGGAACTATCCTTTACAGAATCAAGGTCATTCCCTTTTACCATCTCTCACAATCAAGATCTGAAGATATGACATTGAGGGGCATGCTTTACTAGAAAATCAAAAGACCTTAGGGTGTCGCCAGCATTATGTCTACGAAATCAGTTCCTTGACCAAAATGTAAGGTTTTGTGCACTTCTGCTCAACGTTGGGACCCCCATTTACAGAATCATGGGCCTACCAAGATACAATCCAAACATGTCCAAAATGGATGGTTTTTGGGTGCTTGCCAGCCCATGGTCTTTGATTTTGTAGCAAAGTAGGGGTGCAGGATGGCTCTACAGAATCGAAGGTTTTTGGGGTGTCAACACCCCTGATAGCTGAATGAAAGAAATCACGGCGAGACCGTGCAAATCAACACCCATGGCAGGCTACCCCAATATGAAACCAAATGACCCCACTACAGAATCAAGGTCGTTCCCTCTAAATATCTCTCACCACTACAGAATCAAGATCTGATAGATCTAAAGAAAAATGGTCTTATGGAAATGATATTACTACAGAATCAAGAACCTGCATTCTACATCTGACATCTCTCTACAAAATTACTTTACTTCGTGTGGCCCCCACCATGACATTTATACATGTTCTTACTGGCACATCTTCTGGCATTCTATCTGACATATCTTCTGACATTCTATTTGGCATTCTATCTGGCATATCTTCTGGCATATCTTCTGGCATTCTATCTGACATATCTTCTGACATTTTATTTGGCATTCTATCTGGCATATCTTCTGGCATATCTTCTGGCATTCTTATGAACATATCTTCGACATTCTATTTGGCATTCTATCTGGCAAATCTTCTGGCATTCTATCTGGCATTCTATCTGGCATATCTTCTGGCATATTCTTCTGGCATTCTATCTGCAATCTTCTGACATTCTATGGGAATTCTATATGGCATCTCTTCTGGCATATCTATCTGGCATATCTTCTGGCATATTTTCTGGCATTCTATCTGGCAAATCTTCTGGCATTCTATCTGGCATTCTATCTGGCAAATCTTCTGGCATTCTATCTGGCATATCTTCTGGCATTCTATCTGATATATCTTCTGGCATTCTATCTGGCATTCTATCTGGCATATCTTCTGGCATATATTCTGACATATCTTCTGGCATTCTATCTGGCATTCTATCTGGCATTCTATCTGGCATATATTCTGACATATTTTCTGGCATATCTATCTGGCATATCTTCTGGCATATTTTCTGGCATTCTACCTGGCAAATCTTCTGGCACTCTATCTGACATTTTATCTTCCTACATGAGGTCCAGCAGGGAACACTTGGCGTGGATACTCGCGGTTGAGGTCCGGCAGGGAACACTGGGCGTGGATGGTCGTGGTTGAGGTCCGGCAGGGAACACTGGGCGTGGATGGTCGTGGTTGAGGTCCGGCGGGGAACACTGGGCGTGGATGGTCGTGGTTGAGGTCCGGCAGGGAACACTGGGCGTGGGTGGTCGTGGTTGAGGTCCGGCAGAGAACACTGTGGATCGCGGGTCGCAGTTGAGCAAGGACGACGAGGACGACGAGGACGACAAGGAGGACGAGGAGGAGGAGGAGAGGAGGACGAGGCAGGAGGAGGCGGAGGAGGAGGAGCAGGAGGAGGAGGAGGAGGCAACTGACATAAAATCTAACAACCCTCACCTGGCAGGTGGGGAATCAAAAACCCATACATGATGGGGCAACAGGTGTTTCAGGGGACCCATCCTTTACAGAATCAAGGTCATTCCCTCTCACCATCCCTCACCACTACAGAATCAAGATCTGAAGGTATGACATTGATGAGCATGCTCTGACTACAAAATCAAAGACCTTAGGACATCACCAGCCTTATTTCTCCAAAATCAGTTCCTTACCCAAAATGTAAGGTTTTGTGCACTTCCAGCTGAGTGTTGGGGCCCCTGTCTTTACATGTCTACAGAATCAGGGACCTACCAAGATACAGTCCAAAAATGATCAAAATTGGTGGTTCTTGGGTGGTTGCCAGCCCATGGTCCTTGATTTTGTAGCACGGTAGGGTTTCAGACTGGCTCTCCAGAATCGAAGGTTTTTGGGGTCCCAACACCCTCGATTCTGTAGAGGAAATTGCAACCAGGGTTTTCTTACAACTAATTATTTACTTATTGCTTGCAATGAGTTGCAAAAAACTTATCATCCCCCCACCTCATCCAGTCTGCGCTCCATGTTCCGGAGGACCTCATTGCTGTCACTCCTCGATGCCAGCACATGCATCATCTCATTCATCTAATGGAGCTTCCAAACCAGGACCTCATTGGAAACCAACCCTCATAGATTGAAATAAACCCTAATGAATCCAACCCAATAATTATATTCTTACATTTTCTTATTAAATTAACTAGTTAGCTCTTTCCACCAAGTTGCCCCACTCATCGCTGCAATGCTGCTCTGGATGCAGAGCGATGCCACCAATGCAAGCACCATGGCTGATGGGCTGATGGTCGATCTGATGGAGCTCGACGCAGGGCTCAAAAAAAATGCCTTCTGAACCGGCTGATCTCATGCACTTCATGCACCCTTCCCATGGATACCCTCAAAGTAATTACATGATGACCTCATGCATTTCATAGGAATCTCATCGTTGACCATTGCTATTCTAATCTTTCCCGATAGGAATCTGATGGTTTACCATTAATCAATATTCTAATGTTTCCCCATAGGAATCTGATGGTTTCCCATTAATAATTATTCAAAACTTTCCCCATAGGAATATTATGGTTTTTGCATGGTTTCCTCATCTTCCCTAAGGTTTACCTTTGATTTTCTGATCTTTTCCCATAGGAATCTGATGGTTTACCCTTGATTTTCTTATCTTTTCCCATAGGAACCTGATGGTTTACCATTGATTTTCTAATCTTTCCATAGGAACCTGATGGTTTATCATTGGTTTTCCAATCTTTTCCCATACGAATCTTATAATAATCGTTTATGGATGAATGAATGGTCACATTATTTGGGGGGTTCGGTTTTTGGACCCCCCCACTGGACCTTGTTGACCTAGTTGACCTATACGGGGGGGGTTATTAATCGGGTGTTGTCATTATTATATATATATATATATATTATATATGTATTATATGTTATATATATATATACGGTAACTACATTTAAATATACGGGCTTTTAAATATACGAACTGGAATTTTGGACTACCTCTGGGAAGGTTTTCCTTGGCCCGCCCGGCCATTTAACCATACGGAATCCAATTCATTTCAACATGCGGTAACTACATTTAAAAATCGGAACTGGTATTTCATACTACCTCCGGGGCCTCGCGGTCTGGCCCGCCCTCTACATATTTAAATGTCGTTACCGTATATATATATATATATTATATTGACTCAACACGCACTTCACCTGAAGCGTAGGCAGCATTGTCAGACGATTGTCACAGGCGTCGACAGACGCCTCGACGGTCTGCCCGGTGGAGCCCTGGCTCCGCCACCGGGTTCGGCCGGGTCGCTCGGGTGAGAGCCGAGGTGCGTGATGCGCGCAGAATCAGTTCTCACAGCGAATCTTCAGAATCAGTTCTCATGCCATCCATCTGAGTTGCGGCTCAGTTCTGATGCTGAATTGATCTGAGATGCTCATGCGCCTGAAGTTCTGAGGAAGGTTCTGATGCAGCGCGAACCGGTCCGTGAAGTCGTTGTTTTGCAACAAGCAACTGGCAACGAAGCTACTGAAGAGCTACTTTGGACTTTGAAGGCTTTCCTACTGATGGCACCCCTGAAATACGTCTGCAGAAATCTATTCATTTGAGTTGATAAATCTAAATGAAATAGTTCTCAGTTGAAAGTAAAGAATAGCTGACATCACCTTTTCACGAGAAGCCACATGAAGCCACGCAGTTTGCGGAGTTCACAAATCTTGAGATAGACATTCCCACATCCTGGTGCAAGTGTAAGTCGTATGTTCACATGAAGTTCTTTCGTGTTGCCTATGAGAACCCCCCTTGGGGCCTTGGAGTATTCACAGCTACCATAGAGCGATGCACATTGGATAAACATTGATAAACTGGGATCCGGATTGAGGTCACCAAAATTCACCCATGTAAATGTTGTATAAATGACTATATCTGTAGATTCATCTGCATTCATTACACATGCAACAAATATGGACCAGGGTGGGAGTGACAAACGTCTTTTCATCCTCATACACCCTTAAAACCCGGCTAGAAGCCCAAAGAAACCACACAAACAGTTAAAGGAACCCAAACAAACACCTATTGCGCTGAGAACCTGATGAGACCCTGATAATACCTAAATAATTAAACTGTTGAAGGCTGCGGGTGAATCCGGTGAATCTCTTCCTGCCTTGATGGGTGCAGCATCCACCAGCAGCGTGCCTGGAGCCGGTGAACGGGCTTCAGATTCGGGTCCATGGCATTGGGAATCTCTGAGATATTTTTGGGGTATCCTGAAAACGATAAATAAATTGGTGAACATTTGCCTAGCTTAACCTATGGTTTGGGGTAAATTTGCGTAAATAGATCAAGAATAACGGGGTTTATAAACCAGCCTTAAAACATCTTAGCAGCTCCACATTGCGGGTCCAGCCATTAGATGCCACACTATGAAAAAACACGATATTTCAACTGGGTTTAGCATCGTTTAAGCCATTTTACTTGGGAAACTTTGGGCATCTGGATACTGACTTCATACAGTTGGTGGCTTGTGATCCAACAATTACCCTCTGGTTATTTCACATAGCCATGGAAAATGGCCCATAGAAATAGATGGTTTACCTATTTAAAATGGTGATTTTCCATGGCGAACTGTTGGTCATAACCAGAGGGTAGATTGTTCAACAAGACCTTGCACAATCTCACAATTTGTTGTCATTGATGTTTAATAAATCGCCATGGATCCACATGACACTTGTACCCTGATTTCACACGTGAGATATTCATTAAACACATGTTCATTCCCAAACAGATGTACACTGGTTTTAGATATGCATTAATACCCTCCAGTAAATTAACATAGACCCTGCCAGATAGGGGTTGGAAGACTAGTTTCCTCTATAAATTGGTGATTTTCAGGGTCTATGTTTATTTACCAGAGGGTATTATTTAATGCCCAAAGAAACATGTTGGGAACACATTATCGGTGCGTGACCCATCCCCAAGTTCCCAGCGCAGATTCAGCTGCTTCAGCTGGTTGTTTTGATACACTACCGATATCATGAAATATTCAAGATTATAAATATGGTAAACATCGGACATCCTTGAATAAAACTATACATGTAAAATATATGAAACACAAAAAAACACAAACTGTGCAAAAAAAACAGAAATGGAAACACACTTAATCACTGGGTTGATGGATCGAATGATCAAACTTGACGTAAATGATAGGAACCATCCGGGAAAACACTGGGACATTCACAAGCAATTATTGGAGCAAAAACTACAGAAACTTGGCCAAAATGACGGGTCCTAATGATGACATGTCTGTTAGCTGGGGATAAGAACTGGGAGATACAACTAGGAAGTTGCATCTCCAAACTTCCATTTTCAGGGATACAAGCAACAAGGAGAATGTGTCGAACATGGAGAGTACGCAAGTGCTGTCAAAACGAATGGTCGAACTCAGCGGGAAAGACCGGTAGTAATGTGGTACCTCACCTCTATTCGCATGACATACATCTACATAGGCTTCACAAAAATCACTAGTTTATCATGTTTTTCCTATTCAAATCGCCATAACTTTGGGCCATTGAACGGGACAATATATCCACCTTGCATAGTCTTGCATCAACCGCTCTAGATTTCAGACATTTACCCGGGTTAGGAAGTCCACAAGTCATGGATTGCAACGACCCAGCCGTAGCTTACTAAGAAGTATACGACTGGGCTATATGATTTCGCGATCCAACAAGTTTGATTTGTCCACCATCCATAGACGACTCATGGTGAACTCAGCATTTTCAACGTAGTTGTCATAAATCATAATGTTTGGTGAACTATCTATTTCAGCTATAAATCATGAAAATCAACTATCTTCATGGTAACCAACATAATGTTGGTGAACTCATCTCATAAATCAGCCCATCAAATCATGAAAAATCATCCCATCAAATCCCGACCATTTCCCCGATTCTAGCTCCGGTGTTTCACCGGCTGCAGCTTTGAATTTGACAACTATGATTAGTGAATCGCATGGTGTTCCCACTATTATTTTAGGTATTTAGGGGGCTTAAAGCAACTATAAACTATCCTCAAAATCACCAAACATGGGTGGTATAAACCATCAAAATATGGGTGGTTTATTGTTGACTACGCTTCCTAACATTAACTAATTATGTTATTATCACCATTTGACTTAATCCAACCATTTAAGATGAATGATATACCGTGAATGAGTGGTATAAACCTTATGGGTAGTATTACTAACATTAACCATGGTTCCTAACCAGTTACCATTCATCCAGACCCAGATCCAGCCTGAAGGACACAGTCCGGCTGCCTGCAAGGTCATCTGCATGTCCTGGCTTTCCAAAAAAATAGAAAGTGTTTCAAGGATATTTAAAAACAATAAAAATACAACTTCACCATCTATGGGATATAGATCTAGATTATTTGAACAAGACTATATATCATTGTATATCTAAAAACAATATAAACACATCATGATGGGATGGTATATTGATATTGAATGCTTCTCGAAGATGTATTTTTAAGGGGATACACATCAATATTTAAAAGCCCTGAAGACATCTTGTGTTGAACTAAGTGAATTGTATGGGTTTAATGACTAATGATATATTTCACCAACTACTTTTAGGAGTTATTTAACATTCCATTTATAACTGTTAGTTGGGCCATAACTGTATATGGCGCTACAAACCACCGATCAGTGGTGAGATATAGCCAGCCAAAGATGTGATAATTGCGGGAATATCACCGAATACAATGAGCTTTGCCAACACAAAAAGGTTCGACAAAAAAGGGATTGTGATGGTAACCATCAGACATATATATATATATATATATTCTATATATATATATATAATATATATATTTAATATGCGTATGTCTGAAAATTGGGTATACCTCCAAAATGGCATTTTTTCATAGGAAATATGATGCTGATTGGTGGTATACCTACCCCTCTGAAAAATGACGGAGTTCGTCAGGGATGATGACATTCCCAACTGAATGGAAAGTCATAAAATTCCATGGTTCCGAACCAACAAGCAGATTAATTCTGGAAGTTCATCACTGGTCTATTAGATACCTACCAAATCTAAACATGGGCTAACCACCAACCAAACCACCAACCAGGATGGCGAACCAAAGGATTTGGGATACCTTTTTTACCATCAACCATTGGGATTCAACCATTGGGATTCAACGACAGATGTCTTCAGGTGCCCCCAAATCGATAGCTTCCTGGTCAAATCATGTTCAATCACCATGTGTTTCCTAGTAAATCACATTTCGCCTGGATCATAACAAAAAAATATGATGCTAAATGATTTATTGTATCTTTCCTAGTAATATCATGTCAAATACACATGTTTTCCTAGTAACATCATGATATCATGCTAGATCACCATTGTTGCTGGTATAATCCTGGTAAATCACCATGGTTTTATTACTAACATCACGTTCATCATCCTTATCACTAGTAAATCACCAGTTTTCCTCCTAAAATCATGGTAAAATTCCCCTTTTTCGTTCCCTTTAAAAAGACATCCACACCTCGTTCTCCGTTCAAACGGCGCCTCGGCTGTGAGGAACTTCCTGCGCGGCGGCACCTGTTCAGCCAGCACGATGGCCTCTTCCTCCCGGCGAAGTCGGTGAAACGAGATGAGATGTCCATGGGGCCCACAAGATAGCGTTCAGTTGCCTTACAAGTGGCTTAACTATCCCACTATATATAAACACTTTTTTCCATTGATAGTTAATAATTAACTGTTTTATAGTGGGATAGTTCATAGTTAGAACAATAGATATCATTGTTAATAGTTATTAGAACAATAGTTTATATATAGTGGGATATCTTCTGGATACTAAATGATATTAATGGGGTGTTCACCAATCAAACTGTGGATGGAAGAAATCCTGCACCAGTTGGTATACGGTTTATCCCTTTATAATCCCATTATTTACCGTGTTTCATAGTTACCTAGCGGTTGCCAACTGGTGCAGGATTTCTTCTATCCACTGTATGAAATGATCAACTATTGATAGTTAGCTGATTTGTTGATCTATTTACTACTAGTAATGATAGTTCTACAGTAGATGTCAATAGATATCAATGGTTAGTAAACACTTACATGGATATCACAACATCAATATATAGTTAATAGTAACGAGTTAGAAAATGGATTATAGTAACAATAGTTAATTATTATGGGATATTAATGGAAAATTAATGGGATGTAAGCCAACTATTACCCAACCATACGTATAGATTGTTTGTATATGTTACGTAGCTAAAGATTAGCCCATATCAATGGGATATTTCCCAACCATACTTAGATGGGCCGTGGAGCTAGATAAGTATTTAGAAAATGAATTGTAATTGGGATAGTTAATGATGATTCAATGATTAGCTATGAATAGTTACTGGATAGTTAAGGGATTTCACCAACAATAACTGAATATATACTGTAGTGGTACATTGCTGGGATTTTGAGGACATCTTGAATGGGATATTAAACAATCATGGTGAAATTGGCTGTGTCTGATGGCTATACACACAAAAGTAAACGAATGGGAAACTGATGATAAACCTCTACATCATTACAGTTTTTCAGTATACAGGAAACACCATTTTGTGACGAAACCATATGTTTCCTGCAGTTGGGACTACCAATATGTAGATACAATCATCGTGGCAAAATCAGTTGGGATAGAACATGATAGAACTCCTATAATTATGTCCGTCTGGCAAATTAGATCAGCCAAAAAGAGATTTCAGCAACGCAGTAATCATTGACCAAAGGAAAATTCATGATTTAACCACGGGAAGAATGTTTTGAGATACCAGGAGAGATATCCAACAAGGGAATGATGTTTTCTCCCTGACTAAATCGCGCTGCAAAATAGGCATTTCACCAGCAAACTTAAGGAAACATGGTGATCGTAGCAAGGAAACATAATGCTTTAACAAGGAACACTTGATGATTTTAACCGGGAAAATGGGGATTTAAACATATTTAAACCAAAAAATGAGATTTTACAAGTAAACATCGTGATTTGACCAAGGAAGAAAAAGGATTTAACATAAATTTCACCAGCTTTCACCAGCAACACTTCGTTTCACCAACAAAACCCGTGGTGGTTTAACCAGGCACAAAGCATCGGATTCAATCATCACATACTGTTGTTTTACCGATTGAACCAAGTCCGGCAGCTGACCCGACGATGTGACGTTTCTTTGATATGAAGTGCTGGTAGACCATCATTTAAGGTATCAATCGTTGGCATAGGTCGCATATGGTGGTTCCCAGGCCTTGAAGATTGGAGCCTTGGTCTGAACCGATGATGCGCAAGAAATCGCAAGATGACATGCTCCTCCAATGAGTCCTCGAAAGCTTAGTACCAAGTCCAGCAAGTTCTCGGAAGGCGTTTGATGCAGCCACATTTGGGCCTTCGGCAAAGCACCCTGTCAACCCTCCAGATGCAGATGATCAATAGGGCACCTGAAAATCCTGAAAATTCTCCCCAGTTTCCCTACGAAATCACCATTTGTTGGGTATATAATCCATATACATATGTATATATACATATATATGTATATATGGAATATATATATATATGTACATACATACCATTTCCATACATACAAACATATTCAAAAAAATAACTGTCCAAGCTGTGCTCCCCAAACCAAGGGTCCTGTGGTACTTGAGCTTCCGCTAGTGCAGTGTCCTGGATGAAGTTGGGAATCTACGGAATTTAGGGTAGACACTGGTGTGGACCTTGTATAATATACTATATCCAGATGCTCCATGTATGGTATATTTACCTACATTTGGGTGATTGTTGAGGCAAATTTTGGTAAATATTCCATACATGGAGCATATGGGTGTAGTAATTATAGTAACTACAAGGCTGTAATTAAATTATGGTAATTGTAGTAATTGTAGTAATTATGGTAATCATTAGTCATAGTAATCCAGATACAATGTAGATATATAATAGTAATTGTAGCAACCATAGTAATATCTGCCTCAATCAATTTTAGGACTAGTATACCACAGCGACTAGAAATACTGATATAATATATCTGGCTGAATTATGGTAACTCACGAACCGAAAAAATAGTTGTTATCATACGGCCAGCTACTGGGATGATTCCCCTAAAGTCAAAATAATTCAAAAAAATACATGTATACAATGCAATGTACTGCAATGCAAGGTGATAAACAATAATGTTACATGCAATGCAATGCGTGCATGTATGTAAATATGCAAATATCAAATACTAATGAACATTAAAAAGTATCAGTTGATAGATGTGTGGATTTGGGCATGTATATATATATATATACAGACATTTTTTGTGCATAGTATAATATACAAACTATGCATTTTCTAGATCTATGCTATATATATATATATATTGACGGACTGAAACTTAGAACCTCGTTTTGGAAATTTTCCATACCCCGAAGTACCCGGAACTACCCGCTCAGATTTGGGTAAAATTGATTAAAAAAAATATGATATTTTTACGTTTTGCGAAACTGTTCACGGTAATCAGAACTTAGAACCACTACGAAAAATGGTGCTCGGAGAGCCAAAAATGACTACCCTCTCGCAGTTTTTTACCCGAAAAGTACCCGTAAAACTAGCTGAGTAATATGATGTGTTGTTTGATGGATTGAACGAAAGATTCTACCTAAAATCATCATAAATGGGTGGTACATGTCACTGTATAAAGCATCCCCAAATGATAGGTTTATTCTTGGGTTTGCCATGGTTTGCCACATGAATGTGCTTGTTTGTTGTCAGAAAGCATGGCCAAACTCGCAACCGCCCCTTGCCGTTTCTATTTGCACAGTCAGAAAGGTGGATGAAGGCATGACAAGGTAAAACATGCGTGCAAATTGCAGACAGCAATTGCAAGGATTAGGTCTGATTAAGAATTTCTTGTTTGGTCCTGCTTTTTTTGGACCGTTCAACTGCATTAGAATCCAAAAAATGGTGAAAATTGAATAGTTTTGGTGTTGACATGTGTCTCTCAAACTCCTGGAATCAAAAAAAAGGTGAATATTGACTAGTTTTGGTGTTGACATGTTTTTCTCAAACTCGTGCAAGTCAAAAAAAAGGGAAAATTGATTAGTTTTGGTGTTGACGGACTGCAACTTAGAACCATGGGGAAAATTGCCTAGTTTTGGTGTTGACATGTTTTTCTCAAACTCCTGGAATCCAATATTTGGAAAATTGACTAGCTTTGGTGTTGACATGTTTCTTTCTCAACTCCTGGAATCCAAAAAAATTGTAAAAAAATGGCAAAATTGTCTAGTTTTAGTGTTCACACGTTTTTTCTCAAACTCCTGGAATCCAACAAATGGTGAAAATTGACTAGTTTTGGTGTTGACGTGTTTTTCTCAAACTCCTGGAATCCCAAAAATGGTGAAAATTGAGTTTTGGTGTTGACATGTTTTTCTCAAACTCCTGGAATCCAACAAATGGTGAAAATTGACTAGTTTTGGTGTTGACATGTTTTTGTCTCAAACTCCTGGAATCCAAAAAATGGTGAAAATTGACTAGTTTTGGTGTTGACATGTTTTTGGTGACGGCGCGTGTAAGAGGCCGTGTTTTTATGCTCATTGCATTTGCACCGTTGAAATCAATTGCTTCAAAAACCCAAGGTTTTTGCACATTCTGATTGAAGTCCATCATGAATCTAGAGAATAAAACACTGTAAGGCTGACCGAGGACATGCGTTTTTGGAACCCCTCGCAGCATTTTCATCACTTGTTTAACTCTTTGCGGGCGCGCCTGAAGTTTCAAGTGCTTTTTTTTCGGCACTCTTCTGCCAAAGGTATTTGCGTAATGCATGATGAACATACTTACCTGAGAAACCTGTAATGAAACCATGTTTAAGTGACACATATGTGTGGAATTAAGCATTAGATGCATGTAGAAAACTACACCTTGGGTAAATATCTTTAAATCAAAGAAAGAACTTGCTAACACAACCCCAACAGCCCCCAGCGACCGCAACGTAGCATGACAAGAGTGCGCAAGTGCAAAAGAAGAGCTTGTGAACGTAGCATCACGTAGTTGTATACCTTGAAGGGACCGTGCAGTAGCGTAGCATCACGTAGTTGTATACCTTGAAGAGAACGTGCAGTAGCGTAGCATCACGTAGTTGTATACCTTGAAGAGAACGTGCAGTAGCGTAGCATCACGTAGTTGTGTAAATTGAAGAGAACGTGCAGTAGCGTAGCATCACGTACGTGTGCAAGTCCAATGAACGTTAACATCCCCCCCACGCTACTGCACGTTCTCGTCAAGGTATACAACTACGTGATGCTACGCTACTGCACGTTCTCTTCAAGGTATACAACTACGTGATGCTACGCTACTGCACGTTCTCTTCAAGGTATACAACTACGTGATGCTACGCTACTGCACGTTCTCGTCAAGGTATACAACTACGTGATGCTACGCTACTGCACGTTCTCTTCAAGGTATACAACTACGTGATGCTACGCTACTGCACGTTCTCTTCAAGGTATACAACTACGTGATGCTACGCTACTGCACGTTCTCTTCAAGGTATACAACTACGTGATGCTACGCTACTGCACGTTCTCTTCAAGGTATACAACTACGTGATGCTACGCTACTGCACGTTCTCTTCAAGGTATACAACTACGTGATGCTACGCTACTGCACGTTCTCTTCAAGGTATACAACTACGTGATGCTACGCTACTGCACGTTCTCTTCAAGGTATACAACTACGTGATGCTACGCTACTGCACGTTCTCTTCAAGGTATACAACTACGTGATGCTACGCTACTGCACGTTCTCTTCAAGGTATACAACTACGTGATGCTACGCTACTGCACGTTCTCTTCAAGGTATACAACTACGTGATGCTACGCTACTGCACGTTCTCTTCAAGGTATACAACTACGTGATGCTACGTTGACTGGGGTACCCCCCCCCCACCCCCCAACGAACCGTAAAAGACGAGACAGGAAAAATGACGTACGCGCACGGCCTCTTAGAGGCGCCGTCACCACAAAACTCGTGCAAGTCAAGAAATGGTGAAAATGGACTAGTTTTGTTGTTGACATGTTTTTTCTCAAACTTTTGGTGTTGACATGTTTTTCTCAAACTTGTGCAAGTCAAAAAATTGGGAAAATTGACTAGTTTTGGTGTTGACATGTTTTTTCTCAAACTTTTGGTGTTGACATGTTTTTCTCAAACTCGTGCAAGTCAAAAAATTGGGAAAATTGACTAGTTTTGGTGTTGACGGACTGAAACTTAGAACCATGGGGAAAATTGCCTAGTTTTGGTGTTGACATGTTTTTCTCAAACTTCTGGAATCCAAAATATGTGGAAAATTGACTAGCTTTGGCGTTTCTTTCGCAACTCCTGGAATCCAAAAAAAATGTCAAAATTGTCTAGTTTTGGTGTTGACATGTTTTTCTCAAACTCCTGGAATCCAAAAAATGGGGAAAATTGACTAGTTTTGGTGTTGACGGACTGAAACTTAGAACCATGGGGAAAATTGACTAGTTTTGGTGTTGACATGTTTTTTTCTCAAACTCCTGGAATCCATAAAATGGTGAAAATTAACTAGTTTTGGTGTTGACATGTTTTTCTCAAACTCCTGGAATCCAAAAATGGTGAAAATTGACTAGTTTTGGTGTTGACATGTTTTTGTCTCAAACTTCTGGAATCCAAAAAATGGAGAAAATTGACTAGTTTTGGTGTTGACATGTTTGTTCTCAAACTCCTGGAATCCAACAAATGGTGAAAATTGCCTAGTTTTGGTGTTGACATGCTTTTCTCAAACTCCTGGAATCCAAAAAATGGTGAAAATTGACTAGTTTTGGTGTTGACATGTTTTTCTCAAACTCGTGCAAGTCAAAAAATGTGGAAAATTGACTAGTTTTGGTGTTGACATGTTTTTTCTCAAACTTTTGGTGTTGACATGTTTTTCTCAAACTCGTGCAAGTCAAAAAATGGTGAAAATTTACTAGTTTTGGTGTTGACATGTTTTTTGCTCAAACTTTTGGTGTTGACATGTTTTTCTCAAACTCGTGCAAGTCAAAAAATTGGGAAAATTTACTAGTTTTGGTGTTGACGGACTGAAACTTAGAACCATGGGGAAAATTGTCTCGTTTTGGTGTTGACATGTTTTTCTCAAACTTCTGGAATCCAAAATATGTGGAAAATTGACCAGCTTTGGTGTTGACATGTTTCTTTCTCAACTCCTGGAATCCAAAAAAAATGTCAAAATTGTCTAGTTTTGGTGTTGACATGTTTTTCTCAAACTCCTGGAGTCCAAAAAATTGGGAAAATTGACTAGTTTTGGTGTTGACGGACTGAAACTTAGAACCATGGGGAAAATTGACTAGTTTTGGTGTTGACATGTTTTTTCTCAAACTCCTGGAATCCCAAAAATGGTGAAAATTAACTAGTTTTGGTGTTGACATGTTTTCTCAAACTCCTGGAATCCAACAAATGGTGAAAATTGACTAGTTTTGGTGTTGACATGTTTTTCTCAAACTTCTGGAATCCAAAAAATGGAGAAAATTGACTAGTTTTGGTGTTGACATGTTTGTTCTCAAACTCCTGGAATCCAAAAAAAATGTCAAAATTGTCTAGTTTTGGTGTTGACATGTTTTTCTCAAACTCGTGCGAGTCAAAAAATGTGGAAAATTGACTAGTTTTGGTGTTGACATGTTTTTCCCTCAAACTTTTGGTGTTGACATGTTTTTCTCAAACTCGTGCAAGTCAAAAAATTGGGAAATTGCCTAGTTTTGGTGTTGACGGACTGAAACTTAGAACCACGCTCCCCAAAATATAGAAAAATCATGACGGGTGATTCTAAGTTGCTCCCAAAACCCCCCGAAATGGGTCAGGTTCTATCTTCTGGGTAAAACAATTTGGAAAAAACCGGGACATTCTAAGTTTCAGACCGTCAATATATATATATATATTATATCATGGAATGACAAACCAGTGACAATGCGCCAGAATGGAAGCCAAAAAGGCATGGGGATCAAACTCACAAATTGGGAACTACCGCAGCAAACATAAGGCGTTAAAGCAAAGAGAAGGAGGTTTTACCACCGAAGATATATGATGCAGGCATGAATCCTAATTTGGCCCACTGATTCTTGTCGTGCGTATTTGCCCTTTATCCTATTCTTCGGCGGGTAATTACTCAATTTGAACCATGCTCATAGAATGAGGTAGCAATTGCCAACGGATGGTTTGCAGTAAAAGGGGCTTCAGCCAACAAATAGATGGGATGTACACCCCTTTGAACAAATTGGTCCGAAGGGTCAGCTCGATGCTGGCCAACAGGTGAGAGCTGGGCATGACGACATCTTCAACGATCGGCCACCCCAAAAAGGAAGAAGTTGAAACCCAGGAAATTCTTGGGAACTGCATCTATACCCTGGGACTAGGTCTTTCTTTATCTTTTCGGTGGTTTCTTTGGATCGTGACGGCAGCTCCCCCTGAACATCCATTGACTCGACCTGCATTCGACCATCACCGGTACCAGCGACGCCACGAACCAAATCCTGGGCACATCAGCGTCGCGTCCATTGCCGGGCGAAGCAAAGCTACAGTTAAGGTCCAGCTAACAGTTTTACGGGCTTATTTCATGGTATATACACCTTAGTTATAGGAATTGTATAATCAAAAACATAATTCCATTAAAACTGTGGCCAAATGTCTGTAAGTTGGTAAAAATAGCGTGGATAATTGTGGTCAATGTAGATATATCTCTGGTATTCTCTTGCATTCTATGTGTCAATACACCCAGTCAAGTTATGTCCCAATAGTTGCTGGTAACAATTGCTGGATCCCCCTATTTCCTAGATCCCCATTGCATCGCCAGTTAATCCCCATGATTATTTTAATTTGTGAAATATGGTCATATCTTTATTTTAGGTGGTTCGCAAAGTTCAAGCCCACATGTCTCCACATTATTCGTTGGGTTTTTAGTTATATACAGTATATATATATACATATCATTGCATATCTGGGTAAATGATAGTAATTCACAAACCTGAAATAAGGCTATTTTGGGATACAGTATCTAGCCCTTACTAACCATCATTCCAGTGACGTCGCAGTTAGGTCGTAATAATTTACGCATATGTATGTATGAAAAGAGAACTTGTCGCATGGGATTGGTCTGAAAACGTGCATTACAGTCCGCCCGGCCTTTTGTGGCCATTTGATGTTGAAGAATGTCATGTCCATGAGTTCGAGTTCGAGCAGCCGTGGCAGCATCCGACCGGCTGAGATTCGCTGCACCAAGCTTTGCTCTTCGTGTCTTGTCGGCGCCGAGGACGAAGATGATGCATCCACAGGAGGATTGGCCGGGCGCTTCGCGCCAACCGCAGGATCTCCAAGATGGAGGCGCTGGCGCTTGCTGGAACTCACAAGGTCCGGGGCGCACTGATGTGTACCGGCATCAGAGCGTCGCTTTCTGGGCAACGGTTTTGGCCAAGGCCTTGAAGCTCGTGCCTTTGCTTTCTGGGTCGGCGATCCTTTCCGCGTGTCAGACAAAGCTGGAAACTGATCCGGCCAGGTGCACCAGTATAACCCATGACATTCCCAATAGTGTGGCATTGCCACAAACATACCATTTGGGGAGGGTTCATCGAATGCATTTATGGTCTTATTGGGGGTTGTTCATAATTGGGTTTACCACAGACTATCCATTTTTTAATTGGTTACCCTTTGGTCATTTAAGATAGCTATGGGACCTGGCTGATTTTCACATGATAAAAATTATGATATACATAATAGAAACGGTCATTTTCCAGGTCGCTGCGTTTAATAAGCAGAGGTAAATCATCCTGTTTCTAGGCCACATTAGAATAATAAGTCCTAAACTCGAATAAACATAATAAGTCCTAAACAATAAGTCCTAAACTGGAATAAACATAATAAGTCCCAAACTGGAATGAAGATGAAATACATGAATAAATCAATTTCTTATTGGTTACATCCCATCCTTTATTGGTGACATATTGTTAACCCATGGGTGAGCTCCCGCCTCCCGGAGAGCCCTGCGGACATCACCCAAGGTGTTGTTGGACCTGGGCGGGATTTCACCACGAAAAAAACACGTGGCAACCGAACATGTTGATTTTTTGGGTGCCTAAAAATGGGGTATAGCCTCCAAATCACCATTTTTCATGAGATATAGTGACGAAGTAATCGGAATTGAGGTTTGGTTCCCCTATTTTTGTCCAGACAAAGCCGCGAAAAAAGCCGTGAAATACAGGGAAGCAATTGGGATTTATGGTTGGTTCACCATAGGTACCCTCTGGTAAATTAACATAGCTATGGAAAATCACTATTTTTAATGGGTAAATCCACTATTTCTATGGGCCATGTTCAATAGTTTTTTGTATGTTTACCATAGGTATATGTTGGTTCACCATAGAACTTGGTGAAGTGAGATGGGAGGTGCTCGGATCTCGGATTGGTGCCCTTGGAATCGCAAAAAAAAACTGATGTCCAAACGTTGGTTTTTTGACCATGATTTTAGCCATGGTATCAACATAAATCAACATGGATTTGCCAATAACAAAGGGTTGTTAAAACTGGTTAAAACTGGTTAAAACTGGTTAAAACTGGTTAAAGCAAAAAATGTATGATCGACAATACTGTAACTCACCAAATTGATTTTTTTTCAATGACAGCTACAGTAAGTACAATCAGACATGTTCATTTCAAACCTGACACCTGACGTCGCTTTGTGACATCGCGCTACACGAGTTACTGAGCAAAAAACAAGTGGCTTACCAGCTTCGACCAGTGGCAATCCTAGTAATCCTTAAACCACAAAATAGTCAAGAAACTATTACTCAATATCTTTGTAGGATATTGTTGTTTGTTTTTTGTTTTAGGGTTCACTATGCGTATGCTCCATCTTAAAACAGTGACCTTAAACAAAAATGTCGTCATATCAACCAAGCATGCCAACTACGTTAAACATAATATTAGAACAACACTATAGATACGTGGAACCACCCACCTGATCATCATTGGTTATATACCCATTGTATCCAGTGAAGTTCCCATGCTTGTTGGTAAAGTTCTACTCATCATTTCACAATTATACTAGATTCCGATCTAAACCGTTGGTATGTACCCAGCATAGAATGGTGCATAACCATGCCTGAGAAAATTCTATCGATACAGACCCTATCGCACATGTATGTATGTATAGATATATATATATATATATATATATGGTACACATATGTACATGTTACATGTTGGTACCTGGCATCTCTATATTCCCATTCTTGTGACTGGGATTTTCCAACAATATTGGGGACATACAGTCGAGGGCTGAAGTCAGAGCAATTTTCTTGAATGTGGACAAACCGCTTGCGGAAAAGTCGCCACGACCGGGTCACAGCAGGGTCACAGCAATCCATCAAAACACAAGGGGATTGCCTTCATTTGAAGGATACAAAGTACCATTATAACAAACACGAGAGAGCCCACCCCTCGCACTGCAGACTACTCTTCTGCCAGCACTGCTTTGCATTACAAACAATCATTCTGCCACAATGGTCTGATTGAGAAGGAGTACGACTGAGTGAACGAAGGAAACAATGAAAAGAGAAGAAGTAACAGTCTGTGAGAAAGAAAGAGAAGAAGATAAAAAAAGGAACAAGCAAAGAACACAAATGAAAACAAGTGCTGAAAATACAACCGAACGACCCCCCGAACGACCCCCGAACGACCCCCCGAACGACCCCTGATTCATGAGTTGTCAAGCGCAGGACCCAGGGCCATCATTGACCACAACATGAAGTGCGGAACTCCCTGCGCCACCGCACCCCTTCTTCATCCCAAACCAGCCAAACCATCAAATAAAGAAAACGAATGTCCCTCCCATCCAAAAGAGATATGTAAGAGGAATGAACAAAGGGACGTTTCCCCCATGTAAGCTAAATGTTAAATATGCTGGAACAACCTCAGCAAATAATACATAATACGAGCGCCGGGCCCAAGTCACATCATGCGGGAAAAGTCACATCATCCCCATGGCACGGCGGCGATACAGAAAGTCACATCAGGCAGTGGAAAGTCACATCAGGGAAGAAGAATCACCATGGCACAGCCTCTTTCATCCTACAATTAGACATTTAGTTAAAAGTAGCCGAAGCATTGCGCACAGCGATGATTTTGAAGGGCACAAGTTAATACAAACAAATTCCCGGCAGCTATTCCTATTGGATTTGAAAATATTATATTGATGTCCTGCGTCGCGCGACCACATCAAACCCCTAGTGGTACATATTGGTACAGCCTCAAATTTCTTGCAATGCAAATGGGTTAGCTGTAGCAAATCCTATTGGCAGGGCTATGATCTAGCATGATATAAGGATATGGAGGCCCCTTGTTTTCCGCAGCCAAATCTATGGCTGGCGCGATGTGCATCAAGGTCGTGGGCAGCTCTCAGAAAGTTTGTTGTCCTATCCACCCAGGCAAGCAAGCAGCAGCAAGCAGCAGCAAGCAGCAGCAAGCAGCAGCAAGCAGCAGGCAAGAAGCAAGCAAGCAGCAAGCAAGCAGCAAGCAAGCAGCAAGCAAGCCAGCCAGCCAGCCAGCCAGCCAGCCAGCAAGCAGCAAGCAGCAGCAAGCAAGCCAGCCAGCCAGCCAGCAAGCCAGCCAGCCAGCAAGCAAGCAGCAAGCAGCAGGCAAGCAGCAGCAGGCAAGCATCAGCAAGCAAGCAGCAACCAGCGTTTGCCCCCTTGAATGAATGAACAAATATAAGCTTTAAAAATCAACGCGATACTAAAAATTGAACTTTTCCCATGCGCACGGCCCTAAAACAATGAAATCGTTCAATTACTAAAAGTTGTGATGATGCGAAACTTGAACTTTTTCCAGGCGCACGGCCTCCCGATACGACTTCCAGAAACTGATACGACTTAAACCGAGCACTTCTATGGTCATCCAAGAACCCAACGGAAATACATGGATTTGACCCACAAAAGCCTCTAAAACGATTCAACAAATCACTGCAAATCTCATAGGCACAGCCACAATCGCTACGACCCCCCCGAAAAGCTTCGCCCAAATGGACTCAAAAGCAAAGAATCGCTACGACTTTGACCCTTGACTGTAACCACGGGGTCCAACAACATACCAACCATGATGCGGATATGACCAACAATCTTGGGGATATTACTGATATGTATGTTATATGGGTATATTGGGTCAACATTGGATACCCCCAATTTTTTGGGAAGGATACCCTCTGGTAAACTGACATAGCTATGGAAAACCAACCATTTATACCAGTAGTACCGCACAAGGCGGTGGCGGAAGTTTCAGAATAGGAAACCTATAGGAGACGTTCGTTGTTGTGAATCACGGATGGCAGAGCGAATCCACTGATTGACCGAAAGGTGGTTGGAGTTGTGTTTGCTGGAATGGTTGCAGCGGTCACCTCACCCACAACTGCTGGATGTAGTGTGATGTACTGCAACTGTAGTTGTAGTTGTAGCGTAGTGGAGTTGTAGTTGTGGTGTAATGTAATTAGTGTAGTGTAGTTGCAGTCATATAGTTGTAACTAGTGGTTTTGTAGTTGTAGTTGTAGTTGTTGTAGTTGTAGTTGTAGTTGTTGTTGTTGTTGTTGTCGTTGTTGTTGTTGTTGTTGTAGCTGTAGTTGTTGTGTGGTTGTAGTTGTTGTGTAGTGTAGTTGTAGTAGTAGTAGTTGTTGTTGTTGTTGTAGTTGTAGTTGTTGTTGTTCCTGTTGTTGTTGTAGTAGTAGTTGTTGTTGTAGTAGTTGTAGTAGTAGTTGTTGTTGTAGCTGTAGTTGTTGTAGTTGTAGTAGTTGTTGTTGTGGTGTAGTTGTAGTTGTGGTTGTAGTTGTAGTTGTAGTTGTAGTTGTAGTTGTTGTTGTTGTTGCTGTTGCTGTTGTTGTTGTTGCTGTTGTTGTTGTAGTTGTTGTAGTTGCAGTTCTAGTTGTAGTTGTAGTTGTTGTGTAGTTGTGTAGTTGTGTAGTTGTAGCTGTAGCTGTAGCTGTAGCTGTAGTTGTAGTTGTTGTAGTTGTTGTAGTTGTAGTTGCTGTGGTTGGTGGTGTTGTTGTTGTTGTTGCTGTTGCTGTTGTCGTCGAAGTTAGGGTAGTTAAGTTAGTGAAGTTAGTCAAGTTAGTTAAGTTAAGCAGTGTCCACTTTTTCGACATCTTAACGTCAAAAACAAAAAGGCTCAAAACCCTCAGTTTTTTACACGTTTGACTTCGAAATGTGCGTCGCGCCACAACGGCGTGCACTTTTTAGACACTTTTTCGACATCTGAACCTCCAAAAGTGGTCCGAGAATGGTGTGTTTTGTACATTTTGACTTGGAAATGTGCTTCGCGCCACAACGGCGTGCACTTTTTCGACATCGCAACTTCCAAAAGTGGTCCGAGAATGGTGTGTTTTGTACATTTTGACTTGGAAATGTGCTTCGCGCCACAACGGCGTGCACTTTTTCGACATCGCAACTTCCAAAAGTGGTCCGGAGCTGAGGTGTTTTGTACATTTTGACTTGGACATGTGCTTCGCACCACAACGGCGTGCACTTTTTCGACATCTCAACTTCCAAAAGTGGTCCGAACCCCTGGTGTTTTGTACATTTTGACTTGGAAATGTGCTTCGCGCCACAACGGCGTGCAATTTTGCATCGCTCCTGTGGCCAGCTGGCTCCGCACCCGCCGCTTTAGCGAGCCTACTTTTCGACCCTCCGGCGCCACAGATCATTGGAAAAACACAGTGTTTCGCGACTTTCCTACCTTTTCGCGCATCGTAGCGTCTGTCCTCTTACTCTTTCTCTTCTGATCTTCTCTCTTCTAATCTTCCTCTTCTCTGTGCCTCTGCCCTGCTCTGCTTTTCATCTGTCCATATTGTCGGAAGTTTGACTTCTAAACTTCCTTCGATGATGATTTACTCATAAAAAATGGTAGTTTTCCATAGCAAATTGTTGGTCTACCAGAGGGTACCAAACATAGACATTCCAATCTGTAAGTCCAGTGGGGTCCTTAATGGCTTGACCGAAGTCACTGGAAAGCGGTGAAGATCACGTTGCGGCTCCACTGGGGACAGCGGAGTTGCAACCTGCAACGGCGACACATTTGGCACCGCTGGAATCCGGGACATCAACTTTGGAGAATGGAGATATCTCACTGAAATCATGAGTCAATGGGATTTAATAGGGTTTTAGTTTTAGTGGGATTTAATGGAATTGTTCATTCGATTCAATGATGGGGACAAGTGACATATCTACCGATCGAATGGGATTTGATGAGATTTGAAGGGAGTGAATGGCAATTTGATGGGATTTAGATACCATACTTGGTGGTGGTTCATTTCACTTAGGAAGTAGACCCACCTGCCAACTGGGGTGGGCCAGCAAGCATGGGATAACAGGTGATGAAGTCACATGGGATTGATTGGGGGAATGTAATCCTCCAATAAATCAGCATCAGAGGTCTGAACCGGACCTAGTGAAAAGGTCTACAAACTGTCTTTGTTGTTTAAACTCCCATGTATATTCTATTCCACACACATATATCAGATAAATCATGCATTAATCCCTATGTTTGCTAGTGTAGGCTAGTTAAATTAGTGAAAAATCATGCCTTTCCTCATGTTTGATGCTTATTTCATCAACTTAGCTATAAATTTAATGTTGTTGAAACAATATATAAACAATCCCCAAAATCACCATTTTTACAGGTGGTATGTTTACTATTCCCAGTCATGGGTGGGTAATGGCATTGTTTTACCCACATTATTCACCATCATTGACCATCATTAACTCATTCTAGTCCTGGCCATCCCTCTTGTGAAGGTGCGTGAAGACTTGCGGATCTCAGGGGAAGCGCTGGCATTGTTTTACCCACATCACCATCACTTCCCTGGGACATCCCATCCGCGTTGTCTCTGACCTTACGCTGCTGTTGGCCGCAACCACTGATGAAGCGGACGGCGCGGGCGGCACGGCGAGCACGGGCCTTGTTTTCGACGGGCACGGCTGCGACGAAGGCGAGACATGCGGGGATGGTCCATTTACCATCTGGTTATTTAACATAGCCATGGAAAATCACAATTTTTACTAGGCAAACCATCTATTTCTATGGGCCATCTATACCATGGCTATGTTAAATAACCATAGGGTACTATATTACAGGTATCTGTGAGAATATATGTAATATACGTATATTGTAGAAACAATAAGTATGTATATATATATATATACTGGTTGGTGGTTGACCTACCCCTCTGAAAACTATTAGTCAGTTGGGATGATTCTTCCCAATATGTGGAAACATAAAAAAGTTCCAAACTACCAATCATTATATATATATAAATAAAAATATGGGAAACAAATACTTATATTACAGTATAATATTTCACTAACTTGAATTAAGGCCTCCAATCTTCCTTAGCGGGCCCAACCCCAGCTGACCGTAGCGCAGAGCTGGACCGTCCATGTGTCCTTGACGAGGTTAAACCCTGAGCTTCCGAGAAGCTCGTTTTGAGAAGCTCGAAATTGAGAAGCTTCATTTTGAGGCTGGCAGCTTCGTTTTGGAGCTTCTGGCTTTGACCCTAAAAACACCATGTTTAGAGCTTCTGAGAAGCTCCATTTTGGAGCTTCTGGAAGCTCCAAAATGGAGCTTCTGGAAAGTCAATGTGCAAGTTTGAAACATACATAAGACAGTGGATCAGAACTCAAAGCTGCAGCAGCTGAAGCAACTTTTTGACAGAAGCTTAGGTGAATTGTCTGTGTGGAAGCTTTTTAGCTTCTGCTTGGAGCCTCTTGCAAGCCTAGCATTCCTACCTCAAGCCTTTTGCAGGCTCCAAGTAGCCTATCACAGGCTTGACTTAGCCTTTTGCAAGCTCCAAGAGTCAGTGCAATTGCTCCACCTCAGAAGCAATTTTTCTGATTCACTCCCAGGACCAGTTGGCAAACCACCTCTTCTTTGCCATAGTTGCTGCATTGTATGTGCAAAAGTTTCGTCTCTATAGTTCCAAACATCCTTAGGATGTAAGCCTTTGCAGGCTTGGTCTAAAATGTGCTGTAACAAATGGAATTTGGGCCTGACCCTCCATGTGTGTGTGTGTCATCAGGGTTTTTTGACATGGCATATTCTTCTAAAGCCATATACTGGCTGATAAATTTAAAGCCATTGCTGGCTATGCCTGCCTTGTCTCCTTTTTCAAGAGCATCATACATCCTGCCACAATATTTGGCAACATTGTGAATTGCTAGTTGCCTTTTGGTTCCAGTGTGGAAACCATTTTCGCGAGTCAATGTTTCCAACAAAGGAATAAAATGCCTGCATTGGGCAGCTTTGGCATCCAGCTCAGGAGCTTTTCCATCTTTTTTGAAATCTTTCAAAGAGAGCTTGGGCAATCTTTTGTCACCTGGCCATTTGCTGGCTTCATAAATTTGCTGGATATGTTCCCACAATAGCTTTGCTCTTTCTTCCTTGTTAGAAGCAGGATACTGGGGCAAGATTTCCCACAAAATTTGGCCTGCTGCTAAAGCAGCACACCCTTCATCACATACATGCATCCAATCTGGAAACAGTGTCCAATTGGCAACTCCCGGAAGATGAAAAAGTGGGTTGGTCTTTTTACCTCGCTGTGCCAAGGTTTCAAACCAGGCAGCCTTTGTCAGGCTCATGTCCTTTCTTTCTTGGCTGCTTAGAGCCTTCCATGTGTCAGGCTTAGCAGAGCAGAGCCAGCAGCAACTGACTTTGGTGTTATGTGTTGCAGCCCCATACCATTTAACATTCCAATCCCAATCTGATCTCATTTCAATCAGTGCTGCCTTTGCAGGCATTTCCTTTCCAGACATTTGCTGTCTCTCCTTGTCAGTGTTAGATGAAAAAGGCTGCCCATCATGCCTTTCAGTGGGGTACTTTCCTTCCCCCAGCTTTTTCAAGCTCCAAGCAATCACTTCACAAATGGCTTGGCATGTTTGTTCACCTGCGTTGTATTTGGTTTCCAAGCAGCAAATTGGCATCCTCTGGGATTGGAATGTTTCACTGCAAGGCAGGTTCAAAGTGAAAAAATCCAAAGTGGATTGGTTCATCCTTCCTTGGATAGGCACACCATCACCATGAATCCCTAATGGCACCATGGAGCCTGCAGGGTTGCCCCAAGCCTCGCACATTTCAGCCAATTTCTGGCTCTTAAAAGTGCCTGCCTCAGGCATTGCATCATTCTGGGCATCAGGTTGCCACAAATAATTGGAAAGCCATTCATGAGGCAACAAGAATGGCAACCAAACCATGTTGATTTTCTTTGCTTTTGGCACCCATGTCGGAATTTTTGCCCAATACAAATTACCCCATCTTTTGTTTTTCTTCAAAAATCTTTTCACTGATCGAGCTGCATTGGTATCTCTAGCCTTTGCAGGCTTGGAAGCATCCTTTGCAGGATTAGCAAAAGCTAAGCCACACTTTCTAGCCCTTTGCATGATCTTCATGCTTTCTTGGTCAGAGATTTTGTTTTTTTCGAACAATTCCCTGAGAGCTTGTCCTAATTCTTCTTCAGCTTCGATTTGATCCTTACTTTTGGGTCTAGGAACTTGCCACCATAGCCTTTTATCAGGCTCTTCATTTCTAAATCTTTTTGGTGCAGCTTGTGTGCACCACCAAAAGCAAAACAACACCGCGAAAAAATGTAAGCATTTCATTTGAGCCAAACTCTGCACGGGAGGTGTTAGCTGAAACCTTGCCTGCCTTAGTACTTGTCTCTTGAACACACCCAAAAAAAAAAATCAACTGGTTTTCAACCCCTGCAGCTAGCCCTGAGACCCCAACATCTTTTTCTTTTTTCACCATCAGGGTTCGAAGTGGCAGGTCAAAAGCTAAAGCCTATTGCAAGCTCCCAGTTTAACACTTCAAGTTGTTGACAAAAATTGTTCAGCCTTTTCAGGCTCTTGCCTCTGCCCAATCAAATCAACCCAGCATTTTTGGCCCACAGCTTGTGTGGGCTCAAAGCCTTGGACAAAGTTTTTTGGTGTTGGTCCACCTCTTCCTTCAGCTTCCCTAGCTCATTGTTTTTTTTGCCATCTCTGGCAGCACTGGGTGAAAGGGAAGAAGGCAGGGCTGCAAGCTTGGAAACCCACTTCCCTTTCAAGTCTTCATTTTGCTTTTGCAAGCTCTGCAGCTCTTCCAGACTGGCAGTCAGCTGCTTGCCATGCTCTGCTGCATCCTTGTTGGCCAATGTCTCTTTCAAAACTAACAGCTTGTCCACTGATGAGCTGAAAGTTTTGACAGCCTTGCTCAGGCTTTGGTATGCTTTCTTGTAAGCCTTTTCAGGCTCTACATCTTCTTCTTCTGCATCACTTTCTGCAGCCTTTTTCAAGCTTTTCTTTCCCAGCACAACTTGATGTGAACTTTGGTCTGCCATGAGGGCTTTCTCAGCTTTGTCGAAGTCATGCTGATCTTCCATCTCAACCCTTTGCTCAGCCTTTGTCAGGCTCTCATTGGCCTTCTCCTCTTCCTGAGGACCTGTCTTCTCATAGTAGTACTGTTTCACCCCCATCTTTGCCCAGGCTTTGACTTCATGGGGGCGCTCTTTTAAGCCTTCACAGGCTGATTGACAGAGCAAGTCAAAATCCTTCTGGGTTGGATCAGCACCTTCCATCTTGCCAATCTGGGAGGCTGTGAACCAACCCCTGGTTTTTGTCTCTTTCACTGTCAGCCTTTCCAGGCTCTCCTTGTGCACAGCCTTCTTGCTTTGGGTGGGGTCCAGCAAAAAGACATTATAATAAAAATGCCTCTTGCCTTGCTGGCCACCACCCTGAGCCTCTTTCCAGGCTTGGGGAAGTTCATGCTTCCCAGCTTTTTCAAGCTTCTTCAAGGCATAGCTCATATCATTCCAAGCTGCCTTGGAAGGAGCTGCCAGCACCTTCGAGCTCTTAGCCTTTGCAGGCTTGTGAGCCTTCTCAGGCTTGAAAGCCTTTTCAGGCTTGTCCTGGGAGCCACTGGCTGGCGCAGCCCCCTGTTCACCATCTGCCTTTCCAGGCTCTCCTGCAGCCTCTCCAGATTCCTCTTCTTCATCTGCCTTTCCAATCTCTTCTGCAGTCTCTCCAGGCTCTTCTTCACCTGCCTTTCCAGGCTCTTCTGCAGCCTCTTCAGGCTCTTCTTCACCTGCCTGCCTTCTTTTCCTCTTTGGCGGTGTTAGCTTTTCCCTTTTCACAGATGCTGGTCTCTTCATGGCGATGGTTTGCAGGCCAGCTACCTAAAAGAAGTTTGGCTTTTCACAAAAAGCTGCAGCACGCACATTCCCCTGACCTGGAGCTGGAAAAAATTGAGGTACCAGAGGGTGAAAAAAAAGCAAAAGTCTGAAAAGTCTAAAAGTCTTAGTCACATATCTGGATTTATAATTAGATTTAGTATTGGTGACCAAAAGTCTGAAAGTCCAAAAGTCTTAAAAGTCTGAAAAGTCTAAAAACCAATCTTGTTTTCGATGTTTTTTTGGAAAATGCTCATCCATTCTTAGGGGGTTCCACACCTGCATCAGTCTCTTTACAGAACGTCAAATTGCTTTCGTGGTGGAAACAAAAACTGCTTTTTTGGTGGAAAAGTTGTTGGGGATACCCACAGAAACACAAACCACAGAACCCCCAACCAAGCCAGGTGAGCAGCCAGCATTTTTTCAAAAAACACAGCTGCTGCAGATCTCAAACTAGCAGCACTGCACTACAGCCTTTGCAGGCTCAAGCCTTTTCAGGCTAATGCCTTTTCAGGCATGGCAGCCTTTGCAGGCTTTAGCCTTTTCAGGCTGCAGCTGTCACAGCAGCAGTTCCTTCTCCAGCCCCACCACCTCCACCACCTCCAGCACCTCCATCACCTCCATAGCCATCACCTGGCTCATCAGGCTTTACTCCACCCTTCTCAGGCTTCTTGCTTTTTCTTCTTCTCTTTTTCTTTTTTTCTTAGCCTTTTCAGGCTCTTCGCTATCCTCCTCATCATCATCCTCTTCTTCCTCCTCCTTTATCTTGGCTTTCAACATTTTCTCCACCTCCAATTCCTTTTTGTCGCCCACAGGCACTTTTGCCAAATTTGGAGGTGTCCCCTTCCACCTTGGCCCATGCTTGCCAGGCATGGGGCTGTCAGACCTCCTTTTTGGCTTGGGGTCATAGCTCCATTCTGAGCTAGATTCAACCCCAGGTGTGCTTGCAGCCTTTGCAGGCTCTTCCTTCTTGCCTTTCTCAGGCATCTCTGAATCTGAGCTGGCTTCTGCCGCTTTTTTGGCTTTTTTCACCAATTCCATCATTTCTTTCTTAAAGCCTTTTGCAAGCTCAGTTTTTTTTGCCATGAGATGATCAGGGACTGGCTCACCTCTTTGTTCACAGCCCCTTCTCTGATGCCTTTTGCAGGCACTGCCCCAGCCCCTTGTGAAGTACCGCTCATTGCTCCACTTGGGGTGCCAGGGGCTCCTGCCTTCTTCAGGCTCCCAAGTAGCAGGCCCACTGTACCCAGTGGAACTGCTGGAAGGAGTGCTGCCACCACAGCCACTAGCATCCTCCCAGTCCCACCAGCTGTGAGGCTGCCATTCCTGCCATTCCTGGCTCCTGGAGCCTTTGCAGGCTTGCCACCTTCTCTCTTCATTCCTTCTTTCTTCCTCCCTTTGCTTTTCTTCCACCCTCATATATAGCAAAGGGAGGTCCAAAGAGAGTGCCAAGTAATCATTGGGGCCAGGTGGCTGCAAACTTATGAGCCATTGCCTGGCTTGAGAGTTCCAAATTGGTGGATGCTCTGTGCTGCCACTCCCCAGGTGTGAGTGGCCATGAATGTAGATCCCCATCTCTGGATCTGCATGCATAGCCTCTTCCAGGCTCATGACCTCCCAGGTCTCCAACTGCTCTTGCCATCCACTGTTGTGATCTATCAAAGAATAGATCCCATCAAAGAAGCGAACATTCCACCATGGGAATGCCCCCATGGCCTTTGCAGGCCCCACCATGACCACCATGAAGGTGAACAAAGCCATTCCCAGGCTCCCAGCCTTTTGCAGGCTCCTGCCACCAGCCTTTGTCAGGCTTCCCATGGCCATGCAAGCAGCAGAAGGGTCACAGCTTATGTGTGACACAGATGCGAGAAGTTTGAAAGTGTGTCTTTGAGTTTGTTTTTATTCTGCCGGGAATATATATATATATATTTATGTATGATATATATATATATATATGTATATGTACATGCGTTTGTGCCTGTATCCTTTTCATATGCCTCATGTCTTCCAACTTTTGTGTCTGTGTCTGTAATGTCTGACTGTTGTCATGTGGTGTGGCATGCTTGTCTAGACTAGCTAAGCCTCTTTTGAGCCAAGAATAACAGGTTCAGTGAATTTTACAACCTTGAGAACCTACACCTCAACTTTGCTTGTTTCTTTTTTAAACCTATTTCTGTGCTTTTCCACATTCACCAGCCCAGCTCAGCCGCTTTATTTTTCACCAAAACCGAAAGCTGTCAAGTTCAGCTGCAATGAAGCCTTTACAGGCTCTTTTTTTTCATTGCTTCAGCCTTTACAAGCTTTTGAAAATTTCCTGCAGCCTTCACAGGCTTTTGCCTTTTGCTCATTCCAAGTAAAGCTTTTTCAAGCTTGGAGCATCTTTTGTTTGTGATGTACCAAAGTTTCTTTTGTCCACCCAGCTTCTTGGGCCTTTGCAAACAAGTCATCCATGACCTGTGTTTGCTTCTCCCCTTGTGGAATTTCAAAGTTGACCAAGCAATATTCTTTGTCAGCCATCTCCTGCCTGGCTCTGATGTATGCTTTTTTGGATGCCCTTGTCTGATGCACAAAGCCAAAGCTTTCTGAAGGCACCCAAGGCCTTTTTTCCCCTTTAGCATTTGCAGGCTTGGCAGCCTTTGCAGGCTTGGCAGCCTTTGCAGGCTTGGCAGCCTTTGCAGGCTTGGCAGCCTTTGCAGGCTTGGCAGCCTGTGCTTCTTGTTTTTCAGCCTCTCCAGGCTCTGCTTGTTGGCTTTCAGCATCATCAGGCTTTGCTGCTTGGCTTTCAGCCTCTGCAGGCTCTGTGGAAGAAGCCTTTGCAGGCTTGCTAGCTGCAGCCTTTGCAGGCTTCTTTAGTTTCTCTTCTTTCTTGGAAGCTGGCCTCTTACTACCACCTTTGGAAGCAGGTTTCTTTGCAGCCTTTTCAGGCTCATCCCCTTCATTTTCAGACATGCTGCCAGGGGCTACCAATTCACCACTGGAAATAGAAACAACACTGCTGAGTGCACCAGGTGAAGATAAGTCACCAGGAGAAGAAAATGCAAAACGAAGAGCCTTCCCAGGCTTTGCTTTGGGACTTTCTTCCACCTTTTCAACTAAGCTTTGCTTGCGGTTGAGCCTCTTGGCAGGCTGGCAGGCTGCAGGAAGTTCTTGGCTACTGCTGCTGCCCTTGCTGATGCCAGGAGTCTTTGGCATCTCTTTCTGCAGTGCAGCAAACAAACTTCTTATAACAGCGTCAGTTTTTTCGCCTGTTTTCAAATTCCTTTGCTTTCTCAGCAGCCATGTCTTGTAGGAATGCAATGAATTGACTATTTGCCTTACCTCAGCTAATTTCAGCCTGTTGCAGGCTTCAGAAAATGCTTTTCTTTCGTCTTCTTTTTTGTTGTTGGTGGCAGGAAACCACACACTCAAAAATACATGCAGCCTTTTGCAGGCTTCTTCAGGATCAGCTGGAAAATCAGCAGCTGTGCAGTCTAGAACACTGCCTTTGATCAATGCAGCCATTCTTTTTACTGGCTCCTTTAAGCCTTTTGCAGGCTCCACTTGCTGTAGAGGCAACATCTCCCACTAAAGGCTTTGCTGAGTTATGCTGTATGTTTGTGGCAAAAGTTGGTAAATGCTGCTTGTCGATATGCTGTATGTGCTGTGAATGTTTCCATGTCCCCTCCTCGTTTAAACTGCTATTAAGTGCACATGTGTTGCAAGCTGTAAGCTTGAACCTTTGAAGAAAGCAGCATCAGGCAAACCTAGTTTGGAGCTTAACATTTACCTTCCAAGAAGCTCTTCTGAGAAGCTCCAAAATGGAGCTTCCAGAAGCTCCAAAATGGAGCTTCCAGAAGCTTGTTTGGGAAGCTCCATTTTGAAGCTTCTAGCATCATTATGTTGAAAAAACCAAGAAGCGCTTCTTGGAGCTAGAAGCTCCAAAATGAGGCTGGCAGCCCTTTTCAAGAAGCTTCAGAATGAGGCTGCCAGCCCCAAAACAAAGCTGCCAGCCTCATTTTGAGACTTGCAGATTGAGCTTCCAGGAGGCTAGAATCCCAAATTGGAGCTGCCAGCTCCAAAACGAAGCTTCTCGGAAGCTTAGGGAACCATGGAAACAGTAAAGCACCTTGGTCCCTCACGACTTGAATTAAGGCCATTTGGGGATGATTTCTCTTACTAACCATTATTCCCAGTGAGGGAGAACAGTGAGGTCGTGAGCAAAATTACCAATCAGCTCCCAACGTCCCAAGACAGCCTTTGCATTAAATTCAAAAAATGGGAATTTCCATAGTCATGGGGAATCCCCAATAGCTGGTTGGTTATTTCATGGAAAATCCGATCTAGAAATGGATGATTGGGAATTAACCCCCATTTCAGGAAACCCCCATATAGATACAGGAATGTGGTAGACCCATTGTCCAAAAAAAAACACCACTTTGGCGATGGTTTCTGCCAGCCCTTTCTTAAAATTTTCGGGATGGTATGTTATTAGGCTTGCCACTCTCAAATGTGGGTTTGTCTGACAACTGGGTACCAAACAATTTGATGGTTTATCATCATGTTTCCCATTAAGTTGACTTGTCTTGGCTCTCTGAGCCGGGAATGTGTTGAACAAATGAATTTATCACTGACCCAACAGAAACGTTGGGATTTCCTTAGGGACTAAACCTTGACGAGTGACGACGGATTGGCCCAAGCGGGCTTTTAACAGAAAGCATGGGATATACATGGATACAAGTTGGTGCCCACCAGTGCCCAGCAGTGAATTCTCGTTGGTTGATTTTCACCCCAGTTTTTGCTAGTTCGATTTATCTACCATAGAAATCAATAAGCCCTATATAGCGTGCAATATTGGTGAACTAAAGCAACTTAGTTTGGGGCCCCAGTTTGTGGTATTTTGTGGTTATTATTCCAATTACAACACATACCCCATGATTCAATTAGGGGGCTCCAGGGGTATTGCCCACGTACTGAGTAGGACAATCCTCGAAGTGCACCGTGTATGTATGCTATTTGTCAACACAGTGTTGGGGTCAGGGCACAAATCCGCAAGAAAGGGACCTAAGCAACGGGGTTTTGTTGGTCTATACCTATGCTAAATACGCTTTGTGGTGTTTCAAAAAAAATAATAGATGCGATATGTGTATATATATATATATATATATACATAGGTGTTTGGGATTGTGAGCCAACTTATCTATCTAGGGTGCCTTTTGCTGCGGGGATAGCTTGCCACTTTAGTCTATCTCACTGGGTAAAAAGTAAATATGATCAACCAAAAACTTTGGGGTACAATTCGCAGACAAACACACCTGGATATACATCCTACTTCGCAAGTGGTGAACAACCCGTATATTAAGTGAGTTGTAGCCCATGAAACTAATGTTGCCCATTGGGTTTACATTGCGTTTAAATCGGCTATAACCATGGCTGTGAAACAAAATTGTACCATCACGAATCATAGGCAATTTGCATCAATTTGCTGGGCGGAACGGTTAGTGCTGTAAACTCATATGGTCATAGATTGCTCCTGGTAGTGGCTGCTCCGCCCGGGGATCTACCAATCGATGGGGAAGTAATTAACCATCCAAAAAAACATGTTTCGATGACACATCCAAAAGCCCAAGACCTTGTTTCGACACCGCGATGAAACATCTATGTAACATGAACAAGGATCAGTGTTCAAGGAATCCGAACATCGGAACCACCTTTTTTGGCAAACATTGATTAAGTATGATTAAGCTATTGTCGGGTTGGTTTTAAATTTGTTACTATTGGTTTCAATGATATCATTGTCAATTGAACATATTTAGATCCACCTCCATGAACCTATACGTGGTAATGTCGAATACTGATTAGTATGGCCCCCCCGCCCGTCAACAATTTTACGATACTCAATAAATCATAATAAATCGACATTTTAAACGCCCACCCTCAACATTTTCTAGGATAGTCAACTTAAGTAAGGATTTCAATTGACATCAATCTACTTTCAATTGATGTTCCTTTTAAATCCAAAAAACATGGCCCCAAAAGTTTTTGTGCACAATTAGGGTACCATCGAAACAATTACATTGTTGAGGATCTCGGTCACTCATGGGATACCTACCCCCTTGAAAAATTGTGTGGGTGCTAGTTTTTAAAAAGGGTTTAATAAGGCATCTAATGTTTTGGAAAACCTTGCGTTTCCAAGGCTTTAACATGGATATGGTTTTCTAAAGTAAATGGACGGTCGCTTTACCCATTCAGAAAGGTGTTGATAAAGGCCGGTGAATTAGGTGCTCCTCCTTTTTCAAAGGTTAGATCTGAGAAAAAACTTCTCACTTGGTAGAGTCCCAGGAAACTTTCTTCGGTATACCAGTCATTAAACCAAAACAAATTACCCAACCTGCTTATTTAACCAGTAGCCATGGAAAACATTACTGTAAACCAAAACACATTACCCAACCTGGTTATGACTAACAGTTCGGCATGGTTTGTCGATGGCCCTAATCGAAATAAATGCTTTACCTATTAAAAACATGATGATTTTCCATGGCAAACTGTGAATGTCATAACCAGATGGTAGAAATTCCAATGAACCGAACCTGGAAATTGAAACCCCCCATGAACCACCTAATCAACAGTTGGGGGGTTCCATAAATGTAGGTACCCCTACTTATGGATGGTTTATTTCATGGAAAATCCGATCTAGAAATGGATGACTTGAGAGTACCCCTATTTTGGGAAACCTCCAGTTGTTACATGTTGTTTGGTTATCTCTGATTGTTTTGTGTTTACCTGCCAAATGCTGATGGATTTGCGGAAATTGAAGATATAAGGATGGACCCCCCCTTGGTTTCGGAAAAAACAACGGGGCCCTCAGCCAAGTCAACTCCCAATGCCTATGATGGGCTACAGGAACCATGCATGTAAGCAAACAGCAAACCACTTGTTTGCGCGCAACATCAATAACAAATTTGAGTCAGTCCCGTCATGAACTCTCAATATAATTACAGCACTGCAAGTTGTACCATGTAAAATAATCATGCCACATGAAACACAAGAAATCATTTTGTCAAAGTTGGAACCCTTACAGACAGGGGACCACATTGAGTTCGGGATCCTGAACTGGATCTCAGACAAAAACATCCCCGTCTTTGCCGGTTCCTATCCTTCAGGGAATATGACCAAATCATAGTTATGGAACATCACCATTTTGAATGGTTATATAAAGATAAATACATCATGTATATATATATATATAAATATAAATGACCACTTTCCCAATTCATGTGGTAAACTTACTGCCATAAACCTACCATTTGAGGATGGGCCTGGAACACACATTTATGCGGATTTTGGGGTTGCTTATGATTGGCTCTGCCAAATTACATGGTCAATCTTCGGCAGTCAACAAATTACTTTACTTCGTGTGATCCCCACCATGACATTTATAGGTTTTGTTACTGGCAAATCTTCTGACATTCCATCTGGCATATCTTCTGGCATTCTATCTGACATATCTTCTGGCATTCGATCTGGCATATCTTCTGGCATTCTATTTGGCATTCTATCTGGCATATCTTCTGGCATTCTATTTGGCATTCTATCTGGCATATCTTCTGGCATTCTATCTGACATATCTTCTGGCATTCGATCTGACATTCTATCTGGCATATCTTCTGGCATTCTATCTGGCCGTTGAGGTCCAGCGGTGCACACTGAGCTGGGCAGGTCCCAGGTTGAGGTCCAGCGGTGCACACTGAGCTGGGAAGGTCCCAGGTTGAGGTCCAGCGGTGCACACTGAGCTGGGAAGGTCCCAGGTTGAGGTCCGGCGGTGCACACTGAGCTGGGAAGTTGGCAAAGAGCTTGGCGAAGAGAGTTGGCAAAGAGCTTGGCGAAGAGTTGGCAAGGCGGAAGTGGAGGTGGAAGTTGATGCAGACATGGCCGAGGAGAAACTGGAGGAGGAGGCGGAGGAGGAGGAGGCGAGGAAGAGGAGGAGGAGGAGAAGGAGAAGGAGGAGAAGAGCTAGCCGAGGAGGAGAAGAACAACTCTGATAAAATCTAACAACCCTCACCTGGCAGGTGGGGAAAAAACTGTTTTTTTTTTGCTGGTTAAATTATATTATGTTATATTTTCCTTGTGTAACGAAGAAAACTGAAGGATTAAAACAAGTTTATCCAGTGGGCTGGGGAGATCCCATTTCGACAAGTTACACCGCAGGTTCCATTCGGGCACGGCGATCGGCTTCAGCCTGCATATTTAAAAAAACAGGTGGAATAGGTCAGAAGGAGGGAAATAACATTGGACAACAAAAACATCAAACAAAGAAACAGAATGAGATAAACCAGAGAAACATGGCGGAAAAAATGGGATGACAATGATGATTGAACCGTGAGAAATTGGAAATGCGCAAACATTTGCAAATGGGATGATAGTGGGGATTGAACCAGCAGCTAACCAGCAAAAATGGTGGTAAAGTCAAATACTGGAAAATGGTGGATGACAGGATGATCATAGGGATTTGTGTTGTAACCATGAAAAAACGTAAATTCGGTGGTTTAGTGGGATATCATGGGGATAAACCCCGGGGAAAACGAGAGACACACCAAAAATCAGGGAGAAAAGTGGGATAGCACGGGGGATGTTTTTGAAGGATATTTAATTTGATATTATTACTGAAGGATAACCGGGTTATGAAATAACACAATAAGGGGTCATGGGGCAATAATGCGGATTGAACTATCAAAACAGAAATTTCAGTCGACGAAAACGGTGGTATATGGTCGGACATACCTGGGATAACTCAAGAAATTAAAGGGACTTAATGGAATGGAAAGAAAAATAACACTATTTACTTAACAAATACCGTGGAAAATTTGAAAAAGACATGTGTTATACAATGGGGATGATGATTGGGCGGAATACTGCGGAAATAATTTGGGATATATATACTGGTCACTAATACTGCACACAATAATTTTGTACATGTTGCTATTACTATCCGTTTGCCAAGTAAAAACCGGCCATTGTATGCATCATCAAACGCTGATCGACGACCATTGTCTTGTTGGGGAATTGGGGGTTAACCTCAACTATGGTGGTAGATTAACTAGCAATACCAACCTCAGGAAAAATGCAACAATCACAAGGAGACCTGGAATTGCAAACAAAAAACGACATTGCATACATGAAAACGGTAGGTTGCCCATGAGTTGCCGAAATTGATTTTGAATTGTGGGTGCCTCAAACAAACAGTTGACCAGCGAGGAGGTGCAAATAAACGATGCCCTGGGAAATTATTTGAAAGAGAATGGACGAGAATGAAAAACAAATAGTCCCAGCAATTTATGATTGATCTTGGTCGTCAAAAACTGCTAGGTATATCTAGGACCTTGTTTGGGATTTGTTGTCTGGAGGCTTAGCCGGCCAAGATCTCCATGTAACGAACAAGAGGTGCCAAGCCACATACCGAAAACTTCAATGAAAACCGCTTGAGCAATCACACCACGTGTGGCCCCCAAATCAAAAGATGCAATACTAAACCACGGCTTCCGGAGGCTGTTCTATTTGTCTGTGTCCTTTGGTTTGGTGAAGTGCCCTGCCTGAGCCAGGATCCGTTGTCTCTCTGCTTCCTGACAAGACAAAAGGCCGAAACAAATGATCATTGCTCTTCTCACGCCTCCCTTCAGTCATGTTTAAAAAGGTCCCTTTTTTATGCGTTCAAAGTGTGACTTGTTTCTTGTAAGCTGCGGGTTCCCAACGCTCCACTGCTTTCTAGTGAGATCATGAGGCTGTCTCACACGAGGCTACTTGGCAAACATATTGCTCAACATCCGAACAGCAACCGTGCGGTAGGAGAAACGAAGGGTGTAATGCTGACCAGGTCGTGCGGCATGTCTGGCGAACCCGTGACCTGCAGCAGATCCCAAATATTCAGTAAACCCATGCTATTTGGGATTAATAGATAGCTAAGCGTATTGAAATTGTATTCATAATATGTCAAAAAAACATCATTTTGTAACTATGGAAAGCTCCATTATATACGTTGACCAGCTGGTGTCTGCTGAGCCGATTCATTTTCCGCAACGAGACACCCCGTCGGGGCATGACTACATTAGACTTCCAATAAACATAGGACAGTAAATTCCTACTAAGATATAGTTAGCATTGGCATAAGTTAAAAACCTACTTTCATAAAGATCAATAATCAATTGCTTGTCTGTATGTTTGATGGTTGTCAAATATAGATAGCACAGACAGGCACAGTCAAAGCAGGCCATCAGGTGGTAAATTCTATGGCTTCCCGATTCCAACTCTCGCAAAGTGGCCCCCCTCGAGGTTTGCTAAATTGGTTTAGTTCACTACATGTGTTTTGCTTTATGGTACATATCTATAGTACTCTACAGTTGGATGTGATTTTTCAATCAACTGACACAACGTTTGGGGGCACCACATTGTGTAAATATGGGAATATGATGAAGCATGATGAAACATTTTGGGTATCTTGGGGACAGTCAGATCTATTCGGACAGTCAGGGGCCCCCATAAGTGCGAGATGGGGCCCCTATAGCAATGGTGACATATTAATACATCTACTTAGTTCACTGGGATTGCACCCCGAAGTATAGTGTTTTTTTTCCAATATCGACCACTATATCTGGCTGGTTTGTGAAAAACATGCAGAAAGGATAGATCTTGAAGGGATCCTCTCATGAGATTGAAATATCAAGGTCACACAGCTCCAACGGGAACTATCTGATTCCTCTGGCTCTTGGCTGTATACTCATGGCAAAACCTCAACCTGCAAATGAAGTGGTGCCCCGAAGATAGGTAAACTACTTTATACCTGCAACAACAAATATGTATGACTGATGTATGACATAAAGTTCCAAAACCGACTTGTTGCTTGGGGCCCTCTTCTTATACCATTCGCCATTCACAAGAACATGCTCCCAGTATTTTGACGCAAAGGCCGGGTTCATCCAGGAGAGCCAGGTCGCAGAACCGTTGTGTCATGTTAGCCAAGTTGGTTTATAACTAGATGAAAACTAGGCTTGAAGGGGATTAGAACATATTATAACTATAGACTATAGCAAAATGAACACAGAAACCGTTATAAACCAACTTATACTTCGTCTCTGGGCCGCGCACCACGGTGCATATGGCTTGTTTTTTTTGCAAAAAAACTGTTCAAAAGCTTGGTGGTTGAGCCAGCCCCCGGAAACAACTGCAACCAACAGGAACTTTGACTGAACACAAAAGTAGCCCTGAATAAACTGGTTAATCAACTTGAATAGGGAATTCACTGATTAATCATTTGAAAGTCTAACGCAGTTAACAACCATGTTCATCAAAATTAACTGGTTAATCATGAATTAATTCCCTATTCAAGTCACCTTTTTTGGGGTATGCACCATTTTCGACACACCCACATCAGTGGTTACCCATTGGTTCTGAACGAGGGGTGCTTCCTACTTTTCACCGAGCAGGGACATTCGCCAACTTTCTTCAAACATGGAGGAGACACCAAAAACCAATGATTGATCATCATTCTTTATATTCTTTGAATTATAAAAAAGAAATGGTTTGGTCCTTATCTCAAAACAGCGTACCCTTACAACCACCGGGTTCTGAGGTATCAAGCCATAACTGGGGTCCTCTCTCATCCTTTCTCTCTTCGTCCTTACCATTTCGATGTGTTTGAAGTCTTAAAAGGGGGCACCCTGGGTACCCTCCATAGCAAGAAAGCCCCATTTCCTGACAAACAACCAATGTTCTGTTTAACTTGTCATCTGGTTGGTGGTATACCTACCCCTCTGAAAAATGATGGACTTCGTCAGTTGGGATGATGACATTCCCAATATATATATAGAACAATAAAAAAACATGTTCCAAACCACCAACCAGTCATATTTCACCAACCTGAAATGTTCCACCATTTCGCCATGTTGCCCCGATCTTCACCATCAATTTTTTTTATTCAGTCGACCAGCGACGTCGCGATCAAAATAAACAACATCTAGATTCTAGAATTACCGGCGTATACCACCATTAATTATCTATATGTATTTTATTGTACATGGTATTTAGGCATGGTGGTATTATACATGGTATTATACTATGATCCATAGTTAAAACACCTCCGATTATACCACCATGTCTATTGGTTCAAAACTCTGGAGAAGTCCATAATTTCAAAACATTTACCTGCTGGTAATCAAACATGGCAATGGAACATGTTCCACTTATAGATTCTCCCATTAAAAAAAAAAACTCATGTTCCTATGGTGTCCTATTCAAACCTCCAGTTAGTTCAATGATTTTCCCCATTAAAACCTCCATTTTTATTAAATAAATTTCCAGTTAGTTCAATGATTTTCCCCATTAAAACCTCCATTTTTAAAATGAATTTCCCAGCCATCTCAGACCAGATGATACGGCTCGAGCCGGCTCGAGCCGACGCGCGCCTTCTTTTGACGTTTGGCGGCCATCTCTTCCTCTGGAGGAGTTGGTTGTTGGTGGGACCCCCCAAGCGATTGGATGGGTTCAATATGGTTAAAGACTGGGGGTCCAGGATATACTTGGGATATAGTTGCGATGGTTGGATGGGTGAAATGTTTCCAGAATTAATGGGATATTGACACTGGGATATGAGCAGTGGGATATTCATGTGGGCAACCCAATGCCAAAAAAAACACATTTGAGGTTGGTTGAAATCCCACAAATAACGATGGTGCTTTCAGGGATTGAAAAGGCGTATTCGGTTTGTTTCACCTAAAACTTGGTTGTACATGTTGAAAATATCATTCATAAACCATAGTTATAGTTAAGCAAGTTATGTAGCCACTCACTTAGCTATTTAGGGCCACACGTAACGTTGTAGTTTTTCTTTGCCAAAGTTTTCAGACATGATGGCTACGCAATTGCTGACCATTGACGTCCATATCATGGGATATCTCACAACAACCAGCCACAAAGGTCTGAATCATGTGGGTTATAGTTATGAGATATCCCATGAATCCATAGTCCATTAACCGTGATATATATATATATATGAGATACAGTCTGGTAACTATAACTACCAAACCATGTGGTATACCCTCTGGTAAACATACAAAAAACTATGGAACGATCCATCATTTTATAGTTGGGAAAACTCACTATTTCTATGGCCATTTTCAATGGCTATGTTAAATTATCATGTGGTAGAACTACCACTGGGTGGGCCCTTCTTGTAGATATTTGGGACTTGAATTCATATCAAGTCACAGAGGATTTTCATGTGCAAGTTGTCACCCATAGTGGGAATCCGGAAAAAATGGCTATATGATTCCCATCAACAATGGTATCACCATCCCTCAATATGGATCAATATTGGCATATAATCCAACTGTTGACATGGCGCATGTGGAAAATTTGGGTGGTTCAAACAACCAAACTATAAGGATATTCACGTACATAACTAGCCGAAAGTGGTATTCAGCTGACATGGTTGCCTTAACCAATGGATAATGGAAATGGGGTTATTTATTCCTTGAACACGAGGAAGCTCACCCAAGAATCATAGAAATATCATGGGACATGGGACATCATGGGACATCTAGAAAACAACATGAGATATGTTGTTTATAGCAACGTAAACACAACTTTTGGAGTATTTGTACCAACAGACTGTATGGAATCAGTTGCCAAACTTTGTTCAACGACTGGGGATATCCCAAATACGGCAACTGTTTGGCCGGAGAACCTGATCACAATTTGACAATTTGGAAGTTGGGGTAGCCCATTCTCAGACAAAACCATAGGGATGTGGTAAAACTCAAAAGAGTTCCCTCTTGAAATAGGTATGGGCATAAAACAAACAACAATGGATATCTACATAATATGTGAAAATATAGTGGGATATATATATATATATTTATCATAGCCATCATTATCCCTAACGTTATAATCATGTATATTACATTACTGTATATAAGATGGTTTCTCCATAGATGGCGATGGGGTATCCTTGATTTATTGACCAGGTTTTTAAGCCAATCCCATGCTTGTGACACCCCATATGGCTGTGGCTTCAGAAATTAGGGTCCCCGCACTTTCTTGCCGTTTCCAACTGAATATATTACTGAATGGGGATAAACAACGACATGTTGAGCAGAACCTATCTGGTCGGTGGTTTCAATCAACAACCTTACGTGTAACACATTTTCAGACCAACAAAGATGAGGAATATTAAGGGGTAATGTCAACGTAAGGTTGTTGATTGAAAATATTGAAATATTCCTTTTGATGGTATCTTAATATTACTCATATTTTGTTGGAATATTGAGGCAACGATGACAAGGGGTTGGAATTTTGTGGTCGGTTCCCGTATCTTCATGCGGATCATGTACAGTTTCACTCAAAAGGTCGGAAAAAAATGTCTTACTGATATATTAACCATACTAATATCGATCATGATGTTTAGAAAAAATGGAATATATTACCATTAAACATGGGATATCAGTACATGAGTCTTACCATATATTACCATTTAATATTTTTATGTTGATTAATATTATCCACTTATTAATATAGATATACCCTCTGGTGATGTAACATAGCTATTAAAAATGGCAATGTAACTATAGTTGATTTACCAATTAAAAATGGTGATTTTCCATACTTATGTTTGTTTACCAAAGGGTATATATATATATATCAATTAATTATATATATATATGTAATCCCATGCTTTGGGGGTAGTCATCAAAAAACAAAAACGGTCCGCGAGCCGCCTCCCGGGCCTTTCGCTCGGAAGCACTGAGGCCTTAATTAATTCACGAGAAGCAAGTCTCGTAATGGGAAGATCATGGGGATATGGGGCCATCAAACATGGGGATTTACCCTGATTGAAGCAAGAAGAATGGTGATTTTGACAATGGACGAGTCTATAATAGTCTATAGCTCTAAATTCGTGGGGAGATAACCATAACAATACCACATATAACAATTATGGGGCTATAGTATCTAGATTAGTCCTCCCCCAGTTTCATGGTGTTTTTTTTCGTGACATGCATGCTTGAGTTGTGCAAAATCCTGTTTCCACACTGGGTGTGTTTGGTAGGGGGAAGGGATCATGGGGACATACTGCACCCATCAATAAAGGGCATACTATATACATATATATATATATGTATAAAAAGGACAGTAAAGGAATATAATGGGAGAATATAAAGTATGTATGTCTGTCTGTATGTATGCATGTATGTATGTATATATATAGTATATATATATAGTATATATATCGTATATATATATATATGTATATATAGTATATATATATAGTATATATATATGTATACATGTGTGATATTGACCAGAAACTTGTTTAACCATCAGAGTTGAGTTGACAAATTGACAGGAAAGTTGGGATTTAAATCAACTCAAAGAATACGGTGAAATTTACTTACGGTAGTGCCCCATTGAGTTGGCTGAGGATTCATCAAAGCATTGACGGGATATGACGATGATTGGATTGCTGATTGCCATGTTAAAAAAAACACGTGGAAATGGACAGATCCCATGGAATCAATATATAATCAGAAGATACTCTCTGGTCCACTAATATAGCCATGGAAAATCAACATGTTTCATGGGAAAACTCACTATAAATGGTGATTTTCCGTAGCTATGTTAGTTTACCAGGACATATCAATCATATACATCAACTCATGAGTCAAATCCTTCTTTGGGATCATCGATTGGCAAATTGGCAAATCCCATGTTTTTTCCATAAGAACAAAAAACATATTCATATAATTCCATCTGTAAATATATATATATATATATATACATATCTATACATATATTTATACATATAGATATTGCCTACATATCGTATAGTATATATATACACTCTATATACACTTATCACTTTATATATAGCAAATAGAAACCACAAAAAAAATAGAACAGTAAATCCCAATTAAAATAGAGATCAAGTAGCTTTCCATCTTTTTTGGGGGGTTACTATATCTATATATACATATATACACCATATATATATATATAATCATATAAACACCATGTATATGTCACCATTGACATGATCTTCCCCCATCTCCCCAATCCAGACCTGCGGCGGCTGATGGCTTCATGATGGGAGCCGATGCCTGAAAAATGTGCATTTCACGACCCAAGAATTAAGATTTAACCATAGAAAATAGGGATCAAACCGCCCATGAATGGTCTTTATATGGTTTAATGTAAGATTTATGATAGCTGTTGGTTTATAACTCCTAGTAACTGTTGGCTTTGCGGTGGATATATCGAAGTATATAGTTACATGGGTGAACGTAGACTAACTCACAACACCGGGGGGGTTCAATAGTAATCTGGTGGGTGGTATACCTACCCCTCTGAAAAATGATGGAGTTCGTCAGTTGGGATTATTATTCCCAACTATTGGGGAAAATAAAACTTATGTTCCAAACCACCAACCAGTAATAGTATCAAATCATCCTGTTTTGCCAGGTCACCAGAGTCAACAAACTTACATGGAGAATTCGTAGCTTTGCCCAGGACATGATGAAAGTCTACTCGAGATGCCGCGTGCACTTTTGGGACAACCATAGCCATCTTGGATGTGTTTGGACGTTTTTGCTTGTCTTGTCTGGGCATTGGGTATTTTGTGAAATTTCATGAAAGCGCTTTCCGTTGTCAAGCGTGCTATGGTTGAAACAAACTCCACAGACCTGGCCGAGGAACAACTCAGCGAAGTCTACCATAGATTCGTCTCGGAAATTAAGACTTCAAGGGAGGGCCGGATTGCGTTCTGAAAGCAATGTTGTTTCATACAGTATATATATGAATCCTCCGAATCGTGAGCCACATCCCTGTGTGCATATTTCCAATTACCTTAAGGTTGTAAATTCCAAGTCTTTCCTTTGAGGGTATTTTGCTTTGGCTTGATTTCTTTCAAAAAAACTTACACCCCGTAGTACAAAACCAAGTGGCCACGATGCTCTGTGAGTATTCAGCCATGGTTGTTGGGCCAAAAAGTTCAAGTATAGGGTCAAACGTGACTTGGGGTTTTCAATGTGAAAACACACATTCCTCACCACTCCGACTGCAATCAACAAGCATGACCTTGTGCATATAGTGTTGCTCACGATCTTAGGTGGCCACTCGAATTCATTTAACTGAATGACTTGCTTGGGACAGCCAACCATGCTAGGGCTTTGAGTTTCAGCCTCAAGGCATTCAAGAAAGCAAACAGCAACTGAACGTCCGACGAAGTTGGACACATCATTCCAGCTTAAGATCATAATCTACTGTGGATGGAAGAAATCCTGCACCAGTTGATACATGGTTTATCCCATTATTTGTAGGGTTTCAAGCATCCAAGGAGGTGCAGGATTTCTTCCGTCCACATGCCACATATGGGGATTCACCCCACAGCCACGGCAATTTTCGAACCACCAACAGCAAGGATCCAAATAAAATGGGTGATTCGGTCCTAGATCATGTTGTATACAGTATACAGTAGTTACCCTCTGGTAAACAAACATAGCTATTGAAAATGGCCATTTATAGTTGATTTACGCATTGAACATGGTCATTGTCCATAGTTATGTTAGTTACCAGAGGGTACATCCACATGTTTATGGCCAAAAAAATCAACCAGAACCAACATATTCCATCGAGGTAGGCACATATCTTAATGCTCAATCCCTCTCATATTTTTTGTGTTTGTGTTTTGTCCCCAAACCCGGTCTGGTGACCCTTCCCATTAATTGGTTGGCTAGCAAGGTTGGCGTCGGGTAGGTGGCTCAAATTTATCCAGATTCATATGTTATGATATATACATCTATATTGTACATGTACATTTATTACACGTATGCATGTATGTATATGTATATATATATATACATATATATATATATATACGCACATACATACACATACATGTACATATACATTAAACATATACATCTATTATACATATGTATGTATGTAAATATATATATATGTATGTATTATTCATCTATGTATGTTTGATATATATATATATATGTACATACATACATACATACATGCATGTATAAATATATGTATATGTAAAGGTAAATGCATATGTATATGTATATGTATATGTATGTGTATATGTATATGTATATGTATATGTATGTATATATATATATGTATGATACATACATATGTATGATATATATATATATATATATATGTATGTACATATCTATGATATATATATATATATACATGTATATCCTCACGTTTGAAGGATAATATCCAACTACAACAGTACAAATAGTAACTGCGGTGATGCCTTTAGCATATAGCTACAACACGTTTGTTGATGATGTCATTGCTCCTTGGCTCCATCCCAACGTACAGACAAATTAATAGCAATATAGAAGTTGGACGACCAACTATCCCTATTAATGGGGGTAAAACAATACAAAAAAACCATCCATTTGGGAATGGTTTAATGGTTGATTATTGTTTTACCCAGACATCATTGTATCCTTATTCTATCCCTATATTCGTACTATCCCTATCATGTTGCAACTATCATGCGTTACCATTGACCATTTGACTCAACACACACACACACTCTGCATCGAGATCCCCAAGATCAACAAACCGTGCCGAAGTTTCAATCATGGACGAGGACGATGATGAGGACGACCCACGACCAACTCTGCGATTCATTGCATCGCACAAGACACGCACCTAGTGGCCTACGTTTTCTGACACTTGATTGCGTCGCTGTCTCATTCTGCGAAGCAGGCAGCGCAACTAAATCATCGCATCAGCAAAAATCTCCACAATTTTCCTATAAATCCCTACAAATGGTCTCAGAAAAACATGGTTTAATCCCTATAAATGCCATAAACAATTCCCTCTTAAATCACCTGTTGTTTGTTAAATTAAATCCTATTCACCAAGGGGTTTTGTCCACTTCCCTTGATCCCTTGACCCGTCGCCTCAGGCTTCGGTTCCAGCCGCAACGCAGGCGGCATCGCTGGCGCAGCACTCATCTCGCGAGGAAAATCGCAGGCGTTGCACCTGCGAACCGAAGAAGGGACGAAAAAAGATGGGATTATGGGAATTTAAGCATCAAACATGAGTATTTCAGCCAGTCATGGATCGGAGTTTTCGGGGAAGCCACTGGTGAGGTACCATATGAATCCCTTTTATGGCTAAGGATGGCTAAGGAAATGAGCTGGTTGGTGGTATACCTACCCCTCTGAAAAAAAATAGTTGTGGTTAATATTCTCAAAACTATTATTCCAAACCACCAACCAGTAATTATTTCATCCAGAGAAATGGTGATTTTCTCGGGATTTAACCAACATAAATATGGTGATTCTTCATAGGATTTTAAGCATCAAAACATGGAGATTTATCACATATATGTATATATATATATATATAAATATTATATAGATATTATATATATATATATATATTATAGATAATCCCATGGTAATCAATGGTATATAGTATAAATATATATATATATCATGATTTGTATGGAGAAGTGTGGTTTGAAAACAAAGTATGCCACCCAGTTCTGGCAATTCTAGGGACAATGAGGATCAATCCAAGGATTTTCGGGTGGCTTTGACCATCTTGAAACATACTAGTCAATGGGAAGGATTATCCCATATATTATGGAAAATAAAACATGTTCCAAACCACCAGCCAGATATGTATATATATATATACATATGTATATATTATATATATAATCCAATGGTAATCAATGGTATATATATATATATTATATATATATATACTGTATGTATAATACTGGTAGTTGGGCCATGTAAAACATCTCATTTTTGCGGTGCCACATGTTGACCCAGACGGGTCGTCATGGGGCTCCATCACCTCGATGGAGTTTATGGCCACAACTCAGAAAACGATGTGGGGAAAACGTTCTCGAAATCGCGTTCAGTTGGTGAACATTTGCCTAGGTTAAGTATGGTTTTTGCTAGATATAATAGATATATCGAACTAGTTGCCATGGGTTTTTTGTTAACCAACGCACCCACATAACATTTGGGGGCCCCACGTATGACGTGGAAGATCCGACGAAAGTTCGTAGGATCGGTGAATCCAGGGACTCTGTCGGATATGTGATCAGCCCATCTATATATAACCACTAACCATTGATAAACCATCTAGATATGAATGGTCTATATATTAACGGTTATATAACCCATCTATTATTCATTATTATCATTAACCATTAATAATAACCATTAATATAAACCATGAATATTAACAGTATATTAACCATTAATAATAACCATACCCATGACGGATCCATGGTCCTGCTAGAAAAATGGTGTGCCATGGATCCCATCAACAAAAACCCCGGTCATATGTTAGCATTCTTCTACCAGCACCATATCTCTACCTGGAATCCAATCGATAGCGGTGAAAAAATCTGTGATAGCCAAGAAGCTTTATCTATTGCAAATGGACTATCAATCCCAATTTGGTTGCTTAATGTTGCTTAAATACATGTCGTCTTATTCTATTTATTCTGGATAAGGGGGCTCCCAAATCGTGCAAGGATTGCCACTTTCCGTTCCGGTGATGAAACATCTCCCAGCCTGGTCGAGGATGGGGTATTCAAGAGCCTCAGGAGGATTTTGGCTGCTCAACAATCGAATGCGCTGGTAAAGAATGGCGAGATTTCATAGAAATCATAGAAATCATGCACAAGAATGGTAAACTTCAATATAGTGTGTATGTATCAATATGCATATACAAAGAGATATTATATATATATATGCAAATAGATACATACAATATGTATACATATATATTATGTAATGTGAATAGACATATATATATAATCATATGGCTAAAATATCACCCAGTAACCTGCCAATGGAGGTACAGTAACCATATGTAACCATCCAATGTCTGGAACAAACAGAGTCTGAAATATACAGTGATAAGCTTCCAACCTTAACTGTAGAGATGGAATGGAATGATTTAGTAGGTGGAGATGCGGATTCACAGCGGGTTCAACTGTGGAAGACATTTTCAGTCGCAAGATCGTAGAATGTCGTGCCCCCCATATAAGTTAAGTTGGTTTATAACCCCCCTGAACTGTAGATACGTTATCATCCACCATAGAACATAGTTCCATATTCTAGTTACAACCCCAACTTAGCTACCAAACATGTATATACATGTCATAAATCAACTCTAACAGCCATTAAATCCACATGTTTATTAATTCACTCGCCATCTTCCAAGGGTTTCGTACAAACAGGAGACCCCTTTGCCTGGGTCTCCCAGCGAGCATCGAGTGCACTGCCACGGCAACGCGGCCTCTTCCGCCATCGTTTTGAGGAACTTTCAATGCCGTTTTCTGGAAAATATGTCAGTGAATGTCAGTGAAAACTATGGAACAACTGATGTTTGAAAAATGACAGATCCAAAGAACCACTGAACAGTAGCTTAAAGCATAGGTTTACCATCTGTGAATGGGTCGTTTGTGTGGCCGTTGTTTGGAAGGTAAATGCGGGTGAAGTTGGCCGGAAACATCGCACAATTGGGACCAAAGCAAAGTAAACGCTTGAGTCATCGTCGTTGTCCTCTCAAGTCACTCTGCAGTTCTGTCTGATGGCTACCTGTGCCTTGAGCCATTGAAACACGGGCGTGCTACTGGGTTTAGCACAACACCCAAGCCAGATGTTCCATGTGTATTTATTTACATACGCTTACTATCCCTCCAACTAACGTAGACCCGGAGAATCACCACATTTTATATTTTTGAAGTTGCAGGGGTGCAGATTTGGGGTGCAGTTTCAGTTGTAGCTGCATATTAACTGCATATCATCTGATTATTAACCATAGCCATACATAGGAGTTATATCCCAACCTGCTGGTGTTATTGCCATCGTGAAAAACATATCAACAAGCCCAACTGCACCCGCAAGTATATGGCCACAAAATGTTTGGGCCTGTCGCTGCCAAGTAGGGTCTGTAAGATTAGTTTCCATTAAACCAATGTTTTTTTTCAGGGTCTATGTTGATTTACCAGAGGGATCCAGAGGGTACATCTTACAACCCACGTTTTTTTTACCTTTACTAACCTCCTTACAAACCAACTATTGTACCCCAAGAATCATGAAATTTAGTTCACCTTTTTTGTCAACCTTGCATGTGCTATGTGTGGCCAAAACCAAACAATATCATGTAACATGCAGCAAACCAAAACATAAACCAACCCCAATTCATCCAGTTTCACCTTTTGGATTTTTTGGAGATGAATCAACAGCCATTCCCAAGAAATGGCCCTAGCAAATGAGCAGTACTATCGGGCTGGCCATATTAATTCCATTTTTTCGATATTGGATTGACCACACACCAACTATGAAACAGAGGTCAGACCTTGAATCTGCATCCCAGGAAAAATCTTCGTGGCTACCCCATTGATCCCATGGTTGGTGGTCTTTCGCCAACCCCTCTGAAAAATGATGGAGTTATTAGTCACTTGGGGTTATGACATTCCCAATTGAATGGAAATTCATGTTCCAAACAATATATATATATATATTACCTACATATCACTTGGGAAATTCCCATGATCCCAAGACCCACTGGCGACCCACTGGCCACCTGCACCGTGCACCAAGTGTTGGTGGAGAGTTTGAAAGAATGAAGTGACCCAGGTACCTGTGGAAGGTCCAGATTTTTCCGTGGTCGTTCACTGAAGAGCTGCATTTGGGGGTTCAAACATTGCCCCCTGGCCAGGTTAAAAAAAAAAAACATGCCATAAGTATAAATTGGGATATAATCGATTACAAATGGGATTCCATGTGTATATAAATATTATTACTGTATACATATTATAACATATATTTTCCATGATATCAATACCGTGTAGAAGTTGGCCACCCTAAGTTTAGCTTGCTGTAATATAATTAAACCCCTCGACTGTCGATATGTCCAGCATACGTATTAAATACGTATCATACATATCCAGAAATGCAAAAAAAATGTTGGATTCCAAAGCAACAGAAACTTCCCCTCTGGTAAACGTTTACAAAAAACTATCGAAAATCACCATTCTTAATGGGTAAATCCACTATTTCTATGGCCATGTTCTATAGCTTTTTGTATGTTTACCAGAGGGTAAATTGACCGTCATTCCAAATCATCAACATCCCTGAGTTTAGTTGTCCAATCTCATCGTTTTGGGGGCCACACATTGTACAAAGTGGTGCCCCACAGCTATAAGTTGATATATCTACCATAAACATCCATAAACCCTAGTTGCACAAAATATAAATCAATTCAACTAAGAAACCAGAGGACGACCTTCTAGTTGGGTTGATAGTTAACCCCAATTACTGTGTATCCCCATTAATTATCCCCATTGATGATCTCCATTATATCTCCATCGACGCGTCGTTCTGACCAGGTCGCACCGCAGCAGTGGATCCACCGAAGACAAAGATCTGGTTGTCCGGGCCATGGATCATCTTGTGTCCAAACCTGCCGCAACGGCACCACATGGCTTCGATTTGGGTGAAAGCCGGTGAAACCATCAGGAAATGGTGTCGACTTTCGACCCTGGAAAACAAAAACCTGGTGTAAAATTGGATGTAGCCAACCTGGTTGGTGGTTTCAACCCCTCTGAAAAACATATGGAAAGTCATAAAATTCATGTTCCAAACCACCAACCAGCAACTATTGGGGTTGTGATAGGAAATCTCATGTTCTAGCTGAGGAACCTGGGGATTATGAACTAAGCCATATGAATCGGAAACCTATAAATCAACTAATGAGACGAGATGGCTTTATTGGGGTTTGACCGTCTAGATTGGACTTGCACGTAAAAATGGTGGTTTGACCAAACAAACAAACAAGCAAGCAAGCAAGCAAACAAACAAACAAACAACACAAACAACACAAATAAACAAACAAACAAACAAACAAACAAAACAAAACAAAACAAAACAAACAAACAAACACACAAACAAACACCACAAATAAACAACCAACCAACCAACCAACCAGCCAGCCAACCAACCAACCAAACAAACAAACAAACACTAATTTGTCCACCCAGCAGTAGTGGATATGGATGTCTCCAAAAATGCGTCGTATCCCCCAAGTGTGGCAATTTAAAGAGAATGAGGATCACTCATGGGATTTTGGTGTATCCTATGCTCAAACCAACCCAACTGGTGCAATTAATTGGAAAATGATAGCACTAGAAACTTAAATGGGCTGTCTAGCCAACAAAACTGGCAGGGTTTTCAACTATATTAGGAAACACCGATATGTATGAGTGAATGAATGAATGTATGTATGTATGAATGTATGCATGCATGCATGCATGGATGTATGTGTGTGTGTATGTCTGTCTGTCTGCCTGAATGAATGAACGAACGAACGAACAAATGAATGAATGAATAAATGTCGTGGACATACTACTTACTCAAATGGAGAAAACACTGACTATACACAATGAACTGCTTCATGGACTAAACTTTGAGGTTAACCAACAAAATTGGGCATAGCACCAGCTACCAATGGAATGTCTGACCAACTAATCCTATCGTCCTGATATTAAACGCACCCTAAATGGTCCCAAATATGTGTAAATCATTGTAAATCCCCTACTAAATCATGGTTCAATTATCAGAGTGAAAAGAAATTAGGGGGGAGGAATTATATAGACTGAGAAGCAAAAAAAACATGGGAGACTGTTGGCACTAGTCAAAACTCTAACGGCTAAAAATGGGACAGCATGATCCAATCTCAGGAAAAACCTGGGCAGGCACGAAATGAAGCTGGATAGCTCCTGGTGATGTCCCAGTTGCACAAGGTATGCCATGCCAACTTGGAAGCCAGCGGTGCAGCTGTCTGCGGAGGCGTCACTTCCTTGAAGTGAGGACCATAGACCGGTCGCTGCTCTTCCCATAGGCGTTGCAGACAGGTACCGTTATTCTTTATGGTGAACCAAATTTGGACTTGCCACTTTATGTTGAAGCAATGTTCTTTTCCATTCTTGTCGACTTCTGCAACACTCTTACAGTGGATCAACCCCTTGGTTTTCATCAACCTGTTGCTTCGACTGTTTTTTCATCATAATCAGTCTTCAACGTTGTCGTACAGATTGCACCAAAATGTTCGATTCATGTTCCCATAAATCTAACCCACATTGTTGGTTATATTTTTAATATCCCACTATGTTCAAACTTTATTCCCAATTTTGGTTGTAAAAACAAGTTTGAATGTGTCAACATTATGGAATGTTTTATAGCTACCCCATGTCCAATGTTTTGTTGGTTAAGTCAAGTCACAATAATAATAAATAATAATAACAATAGTAATAATTAAAAATCATAATACTAAAACAACAACAACGACAACAGCAGCAGCAACAACAACAACAACATGCCAATCCCCATTACACTCCCCTGATTTTGGTTGGATGCAAGAAATGTTATTCCTAATCCTGTGATGGCGGCTGCGACAATGTGGTAAACCTAATGCCATAAACCATAAACCATCCCATTAACCAACCATGACTGGTGGTCATTTTACATAATCCGTTAGAGGTATACCCAATGTCATAAATCTTCATTGGGGATGGTTTTATATGTTTAATATAGTATCACATCCCATATCATCGCACTACTTCTTACTGGTGCTAAACTTAGAGAATGGATGGGTTGTTGGGGGTTGCTGGGATGATTCTGACTAGTGATTATGGATCATTCCCGAAAATTCCCTGCTAAGCACCAGTAAGATTTTCACAATTTATCCCAATCTTTTCCGAAAAATCACTTTGCGCCGCGCCTGGGGGATGGCGCCTCACCATTGGTGTTGGGACAGGTCCAGGTTCCCGATCGAAGGTCCAGCCTGGAAGACAAGGTGATTTCATGGTGATTTAACCAAGAAAAATGCTGATGTTCTAGGGTTTAACTAACGAAATCTAGGGTTTGAACCAACAAAGTTGTCGATATAACCCCCAAAAAAGTGGTGTTGTTCTAGATTCTAGGGTTCAACCAACGAGAATTGAATTTTAAAATTGGATTTAACCCAGAAAAACTGGTGATTAAACCAGCAATTATGGATATAATGGGGATGTAGTAAACATTCAACCCCAGGTGACCCCTCCAACAACCCAAGCATTTTGAATCCCGAAGAGAATCCAGTGGGGGATATTGTTAGAGAAGTTAATCGTAAAACACACCCCAATTGAATCAATGTTTGGTAGTCGAAAGGGGCCAAAATTGAAGGTTTGCCATAGATGTTTTAGTTAACTCATATTGAGTTTAGCACATTGACGATTTAATGATCTCAAAATTTGGCAAACAAAT